TTCAGCATGCAAATTCAACACCACACACCATCTCTCCAGCTCTGAATGACTGCTACAACAGATGGAGCTCAAAGTCATGGACTAAATAAGCTCAATGGACATTTTAAATTGATAATCCATAGAAAAAGAGCAATGAGATCTGTATGTTTGTATCAAAGGATGGCAAGGGTGGTGGTGAGGACATATTGGAAAGAGTAAGACCTGAGCATGACTTAAATGGTGTGGAATAAGGGGTAGTTATTATGCTGGTTTGGGCTAGAATAAAATTAATTTTCTTTACGTTAGCCAGTACGGAGCTATGTTTTGGATTTGGGAGGAAAATGTTGACAGCACAATAAGGTTTTAGCTACTGCTGAGCAGTGCTTGTGCTGAAGCAGGCATTCTTCTGCTTTTCACACTGCTCACCCCAGCTGGGATTGGGCAGGGAGCTGGGAGGGGAGAGAACTAGGACAGCTGACCCAGACCAACAAGACAGAGATCCTATACCACGTGCTGTCGTGCTGAACAATACAACTGGGGGAGTTGGCCAGAGGGCTGCCATTCTATGGTGGGCCATCAGTTGGCCAGCAGTGAACAACTGTGTTGTGCATCACTTCTTGTGTTGGTTTGGGTTTGTGGGGTGGGTTTTTGTACTTCATTTTTTTCCTCTTTCTTATTAAACTGCCCTTATATCAACCCAGGAGTTCTTGCACTTTTTCCAATTCTCTCCCCTAACCCACTAGATGGGAGTGAACAAACAGCTCTAACATGCTCAGCTGCTTGCCAGGTTAAACTACAACAACAGCATACTTTTAAAAAGGGCAACTAGCCATACATGTACACCCTCTGCATCCATGTCATCCAGCCACTAAGGAACCACAAGCACTGTCCAACAATGATAGGTTTGTGGCCTATCATCATATTTAAGTCAATGTACCATACTTACAGTGCACTCCAGTGCTTTCTTCTTTATTCGTCTCCTCTCCCTTGCAGAAAGTGGAAGCTGTGATGATAGGTCAACTTCTTCTAAGGCGGAAAAAGTTTCTCCATTAGCACCTGCAAAAGAGGTGATACAGTTCATAGAGGACAGACTGTTAAAGCCTCAGCTTATCAAGGCTTATTAAATGTAAACACTCAGCATTTGGCTCAGGTAGCCTCAGAGCTCCACGTCACAGGGGGCTGAAGAGCACCTGCAGAGCAGCAACAGCTGCCCTCCTGCTCACACCTTTCCACAGGCACCCATCTTGGTCAATATTACAGGCAGGCTATTTGGCCAGATTCTAGACTGATGCACTCACTTCATCTAAGAGCAGTGAGCATCTCTCTTTTCATCATCTGAGCAGTAAATAATAAATAGGATTTCCTAATTTGAATAATGTAAGACTACAGAAAGCACCAAATGCATTGAAGAAGGCTGAAAGCAATACCCTGTGCCCCTCCTGATGTCAGGTTCTCCAGGATCCACATGTTAACAGAGTAAGTTGGAATATATTTCAAATGAAAAAAAAAAAGCTTTTAAGCAAAGCCAGACATGATTATTATCAGTATATGGAAAAATATTGAGTTTCATTAAAAAGCACTGTATCTTCCCCATAGCAGAGAATAAAAACCATATAAGATTACTTCCCATAGATGATAAGGAGAATTTCAAGGCACTGTAATGCTTACTAATGGAAAATTAACACTTAAGAGACCTGTGCTGGTTGGTTTTCAGTTTTGTTTCATTTCTGGGTTTTATTAGAAATAAAAATGAATAAAGCTCCCCAACAAGGTGACATCCCAGAGAACATTACACAGAAAGATGCCTTCTCACAAAAAGACAAAGCAGCATAAGGCTGTTAGCAGAGTTGTTGATTTAAGGTGTGATCCATGCAAGTTTACTGCAGTACAATTCCATAAAGATCTGCATTTGTACTGATGGCATAATTTACTTCATCACTTCAAAAAAAAATTATAGTTGCTATACCCACAGCAACTTCTAGAACTTCAATAATCTTTTCAGAAAAGCATCACTATGCTAAATGGTATGTTTGTGCACTCCTCATGTGCTTAAAGAGAGAGAAACTCACCAATAAAAGCACTGTCAGATTCCAACAGTGAATTCTTCAAGGATTCATGGGAGTCATTCCTGAACTGCAAAGGTGAAGCAGAAGACATGCGAAGTCAGATGCCTCATATCTATTACCTAATTATAAATAATGTACATTTAACATTTGCTGAAGCTCTGCAAAGGAAACAGCAGCTATGCAGTGTTTTATACTATTCTATACTTTATAGCTGTAAAAAAGTGCATCTTTTCCAATAGTTCACGTTCTACTTAAGCAGTAGTTTTTGGACTTTTCTGTTGCAGCACCATTTGCTGAAATTGTCTGCACATAGCAATGGTTGTGACAGTCTGCATGAGCCAGGCACATCCATCAAGGGGTGCATCCCAGTCACCACCTGAGCTTTACAACACAGGACAAAGCTGGCAGCAGGCCTGCACCCAAGGTTTGTCCAAAGCTCTGATCAAAGGAGGGAAGACTCCTCATGTTTTGCTTATCCCACCACATGCAATCTTTGGTATTAAAGCACCAAATATCTTCTTAATAAGAACAAGCATTAAGATCATTGCTTACAGTTCACTGCATAGTTGCAACCATTTGCTGCAGAAATTCAACTTGAAAATCACTACAAAAATCAAAGTAATGGAAACCATCAGAGGAAACAAGAGGAAACAAACTTTTTACTGCAAACCATTACTCTGGAGAAGAATTATAACTCTAACATGCATTAAGATGATTTATATTGTCCATTTGCTCAGTAATGTTTCATTTCTGCATGAAGTTACAGTGTTATCCTTGAGGCTAATGGCTGTTCCTTGCAGTCTTTCATCTTACATGGGCCTACACTCCCACAAAACACTGTGGAAATCTGCTGTTCTGCAGTTTGGTTAGTGAAAAAAAAAACAAAAACAATTCTGATAGCACTTCATATTGCTCTATTTACACCTGAAAATAAACCTCTCCTTTGAGACAGTGTGCATCACTCAAGTCATGTGGATTCAGAGCCACTGCTGCTGGCTCGGCTGCTTCCACTAATTCACACTCCCAGCAGCAATTTAACATCATATGAATATAAAGTAAGTATCGATGAATATTAAAAAAGGAAGCTAATGAATCAAACAATCTCTATATACAAAGATAAACAACTTCCATGTCAAGTTTAAGAACCTGTTAATCATTCTATTAACAAGCAATAGCATTAAAGAAGCTCGCTGTCTCGGGTGTAATTCTTTCCTCTGAATTCTGTACAAGCCACACAATTTAATAAGCATTTCTTGTCCTTGAAAAAGGCACAGTAGTACTTTTTTCTTTTTAACCTGTTTTGTTCTTACCAGTCCCATGGTTTGTGGGTTGTAGCCAGAAGGAGAATCATCTTCATCAATGAGAACCACATAGAGAAAGGACAAGATAATTACAATGTCATAAGAAAAGAGATAACACTGACACACGATGTGCTGACAAAACTTCTGCTACTACATGGAAAAGAAAAACCACTGTCAATTACTACAACTTTCTTTAAAATTATATACATTTTACTGAACATCAGTAAAGTGTCTGAATGCCAGTGTAAGTATTATTAGAAAAATCAAACAGAATTCAATAGCAGACTATTTCTGAGAACGCTATGATGAATGCATGTATTTCTGAAGGGCTGGATATGTCAGAAAGACATCAATTTGTGAGATGGTTTACCATGGGTGCCCAACTTCTTGGCTTGCCCGAGGAATTGTCTGGGGCCACATTCAAAATATATAATATAGTTAAGGTACATAAGGAACAAAGATTTTTAAAACATTTTTTATAAAAGATCTTTCTTTTTAAAGAAAGCAACAAAAAACTAGCAGGTTGGACATGGGTTAAGCAACAACCCATGAGAGCACAAAAGGTTGCTGCATGAATATCTTGGTTTCTCTTTTACCCTCCCCTGTTTCACCTGTTGAGACCTTAGCATCTTTATACGTTATTTGAATTACTGCATCTGACAAGACATCTAGTTACACAACTAGAAAGCAATTTTTGTTTTGTGACATACTCTGCACACTGCTGAACCCCAGTGAAACTAGGACATGGTAATGAGAAAACACACCAGCTTAAACAACTGCAGATGAGACAGCAATTAAACAGCCATAAACTGGAGCATAGGAAGTTTTGCACCAACATGCAAAGGAACTTCTTCACAGTAAGGGTGGCAGAGCACTGGAACAGGCTGCCCAGGGAGGTTGTGGATTCTCCTTCTCTGGAGATATTCAAGACCCACCTGGACTCCTACCTGTGCAGCCTGCTGTAGGGGGCCTGCTTTGCAGGTGGGCAGGACTCGATCTCTAGAGACCCCCTTCAACTCCTACAATTCTGTGATTCTGTGAATCTAAAAATTCCAAGCTATTCATGAGAACCTGAAAGTATATGGTCTTCCTACTATAAGATCATACTGTCTTTTCTAGCGTATTTTTCTTATCTTCACTTTCATAGATTGTATGTTGAACATTTCATTTGCTTTTCTTTTATTAAATATATTTGTGAATTAAGAAGAAAAAAAGAGTGTAAATTACACTATTTATCATCCCAGAAGTAACTGCTAGCAGTCCCACAGACAGTCATAGAATCGTAGAACGGTCTGGGCTGGAAGGGACCCCAACAAGCATCAACCTCCAACCCCCCTGCTGCAGGCAGGGCCAACAACCTCCGGATCTGGTACTAGAGCAAGCTGCCCTGGGCCCCAACCAACTTGGGCTTGAACACCCCCAGGAATAGGGCATCCACCTCTCTGGGCAGCCTGTTCCAGCACCTCACTACTCTCTGTTAAGAGCTTCCTCCTGATATCTAATCTAAACCTTCCCTCCTTGAGCTTAAAAACATTTGGCTTGACCTATCACTGTCTTGTAAAAAGTTGATCTCCCTCCTGTTTATAATCCCCTTCTCAATACTGTAAGGCTGCAATGAGGTCTCCTCACAGCCTTCTCTCCAAATATTTGTTTAAAGCAGGTAAGGCAATCCACACTATCATACAGTAGGAGAAAACAGGTAAGCCTTTGCCACAACAGCCTGTAACACGGCCTCTTATCCACAATACACATTGCTTTAATTCATCTTCCTGTCTGCCTCATATCAGACAATAAAACTGCTCATCCGTTTTTACTGAGGGGAAGATGATGAGCTTGCCTCTGAGGAAAATGAACTGGAAATACAGAGATAACATGGTAACTAATTATCTAGCTCAGTACATGGTGACAGGCTATAAATGATGTTGTAAAGCACTAAGGGGGATTGAGAAAGAGTAGAAAGGCTGCTTGAGGATGGAAAGTCCTCAGTGGAAAGTGCTTCAGTGGAAAGTCATTTTAGAAATCAGCTCCTTGTGTTCCAGCAGGAAATGCCTGCTGCTAGTCTGCCCCCACGTAAGACTGCATTATCCATTCAGCGTTAGCTTACATCTTATACAACTGCTCGGCGTTAAAACTAATGAAAAAAGGCAAGTTTGCTTTCTAGCTAGTGGAGGTTGCTCTCCAGACAACATTAAATCAGATCCTTCTCAGACTGCCTGTTAAGTAATACTCCAACGAGAAGAAAACCAAACCCAGGAACACACAGTTCTCCACTGAAACTACTGATTTCTTTTCCATCTTTTCAATCCATCCCAGAAAGGGCAAGACTGAACACAACCCTGCACACCCAATTTTGACATGGTGATATTTAAGAGCTTGTAATCAACCCAGAAGATGTTACAGAGATGCTGATTTGTAACTGCAACATTGTATTATTCATAAGCAACACTGCCCACATTGCTTGAACACCAAAACATTCTGGAATCACTAACAAGTTGCAACATCTTACAAGTGGTTTCTAAAGCAAAGTGTGTTCCAGGATACAGACTTCTGAATCTGTGAAACACTCAAACCATGACTACAAACATAAAAGAAATTTAGAACTAAGAGATAAAAGTAGAGGACACTGGCTGCACTATAACTGATACAGGTTCAAAGCCACCTCCTCCAGTGAGAACTAAAAAAGTGCTAGGAGGGACTTACCTGCTAACACCTCCACCAGGTAACAGCTGAAGATTTTTACTGCTCTATAATTTTCCTTAACAGAAAGTAACCAACCTAATTTTCTCTTGCACTGTTCTGAAGCAAGCATGAAGCAGTAATTAAATTCCTCTCAGGGGAACTAGGAGAAATAGTCACACAAATTTCTTTAAAAAGCTATTTGTTACTTCTATGCTTTACAATATGACAGAATTTCAGTGTTCTGGTGTGCTTTACACTTCTGTACTGCAGCGCAGACAGGGAACATCAAGGTAAAATCAGAGCTGCCATTTTTTAAAAACCTTCATCAAATACAAAAGCAATAAACAAAACCACTGAAATTATCTTGGTCCATTCATTCCTTACCTTCTGCTTCTCTCCTCATTCTCATTCTGTCAAGTTTCTTCTGCTGCTCTCTCAACAGAGCCTGCTGTTGAATCTCAAGAGTCCGGTCATCTTTTGGAGGATCAGGATACATTTGCCTTAAGCCCACACGTGTTTCAGAATCTAGAACAAAGACAGGAAACAAGAACTTTACTTTAAACTAATGTTTCTGAAAAAGAAATTTTAAAGCAGTTACACATTCACAGTCAGAAGAAACATTAAAAAGAATGGTGACAATGGCATTCTATTCCCCAGGTTGTTATGGAGCACACTCTTCTATGACAAGTATAAGAGATGCAAGCTGATATACTCTCACTTTAAAGAGCCTGCACTCCCATTTAACTTCAGAATGAAATCTCCAACTAGAAGGCCCTTACAGAGAAAAGCAATGCTTTCTTCCTCCAAAATCTATAAGGTATTTAGGGGATGTCTATAAATCAAATTAGAAATTTTATGAGACCAGCTCAAACCATATAATTAAACAATTTATCAAATTAAAATCTTTCAAGGCATTCTTTGAATCAATATTCAACAGTTGACAATCATTTAAAAAAAACATTTCTCCATCAAAATTACATGTATTCTTTAAAAGACCATATAAAATTTAGCAAGGTTCCACATAAGGAATGTGCCAGATGGTTGCACACTGATTCTGGCAGTGGTGCAGTACCTACATAACTTATTGTAGACATTTGTAGAAACACTAAGTGACAATGTTTTTTGTCTTTAAAGCCCAAGTAACATGGAAGATGGAGGAAAAGAACAGATGTTTCACAGACTTTCTTCCTCAGCGACAAGATCTACCTACCTTTGTATTTAAGTTCATTAAAATCCCAGATGTTCTGCATATTGACAGGATCTTGTGCATCCTTTGACGAAGGTCGCCTCACCGGAGCCTGCAGACGAAGCCTGGCCATCTCAAATATGTCCTTTGGATTCTTCTCTCTCCTCCCACTTGAAAAGTGTGTAGAACAAGCAAAATATCATTTTAAACTGCAATACTCATGAATTACATGAAGGCATAGTTTAATACTAATAAAGCTCACTTCTTGTACTTAGACACCGAGCAACTATTTATTTAAAGCTATTGAAAATAATGACAATGCACATTATGCAATGAGAAGAAATAATCTACTTGAAATGAAGAAAAAAGAACCTCTTACTTTAAGGAACAGAACTAAGACTCCTGATCTGATGAGTCTTTTCCAACTAGTGGGCACAGTTACCTAGCACATTTTGGAAGCAAACCATAAAGTTTTAAATAAAAAAGTATGAATTTCTGTAAGGAAGAAAGTATTCCCACAGCACTACACTATTTAACAGATACTACAGTCTCCAGACACAACTCACAGCCTTGGAAGGAAGGCACTGAGATAAAACTTAGGCACCAGTTTCAGACCAACAGACTAAATATTCTAACTTCCAATGTTATCAACACACCCATTCTTAAGACTAAAATTTAGAAAGATTCCTGGAAAAAACAACCAGCCAACTACACACATCAGAAAAATGAAAAAAGTGATATCAAAGTTCAATCCCCATGTTTTCATTTAACACATCAATATTAGACAACTAACACTACTAGCACGCAATAGCCCCAAGGTCCTGTACAAAAGCTAACTTCTAAAAAATGAAGATGAAATTCTCACCGTGTAATTGGTCCATCATCATCACTAGCCACATTAAGTAACTGTTCCTGCAGTCGCCTCTCTTCACTACGAAGCTGTTTCCTCATCTCTGATAATTCATTTATCACATTCTTTCTTTCTTCTGTAATTTAACACCAATAAAGTGTTAGAGACACTTTTCTGCCTGCCTCGTAAATGCAAGGTGAAAAAAATGACAATGCACTGTTAATTAAAATGATTAGATATTCACAAGCATGTCATACTTTAGAAAGCAGGGGAGAACTTGTATTTTAAGGAAGCAGAAGGATGAAGTCACCAGAACAGCAAAAAGCATTCAAACTTAACAAATGTTTTGCTGTGTTTAAAAAAAAAAAAAAGGAAAAGCTACAAAGCAACTGGATGCTGACAGTAAGCAGCCTTATTCTGCAATTTGCAAGTCTACATAGCCCTCCTGAGAGTTAGAAGACAGGAACTGAGGTGGTATCAACACAAACCCATTTCTGTCTCCTAAATCCCTCTGGACAGTTCAAAACAGATATATCAATCTGCTTAGTGCCATCTCTTAAGTGTTAAAGAGTTCCAACTTCAACACTTATTTTTAGAATGTGCTCGTGCTGAATTTTCAGAACTACTGTCAGTCTCAGCTGCTTGGTTTTTGTAGTTAGGACAGCATTCCTCCAAAAGTGCCAAGTTTTACAAATACTTTGTTTTTCCCATCACATTCATTCTAGCAAGCACCTTTTAGTTTGACTGCAGAATCTAGCAGACAAGCGAGTTTTATAGTTTAAATGCTCCTACGCAAGAGTTAACCCATACTTCTTCATTTCTCTCAATTTCCAAGAGCTGCATTAAGAACTTCCTTCCTAGTGGAAGAATGACAATGAACTCAGATACTGACCACATTTGTAGGACAGCACTTATTGCTACATTTCATGTGTTTTTGCAGTAAAAGCAATACCTACCAAGTGCTCGCAACTGATTTCTTCTAGCTGGGACAGGTGGAGAAGGAGCTCTGGGTTGTGGAGGATCCTAATCATCAGAATGAACATGAAACGTTAGCACATCATAGTAAGCAACCACACCAGCCATAACAACCTTTTATTTCCTTACTTTATATGCAACTTATTAACTACCACTACTACTAGAAGAAAGAATAGTAACCTAGCAAGTCATTAAAGTGTAGGGTTTTTTTGTTTTGTTTTTTGTTTGTTTGTTTTTTAAATCTGATCTTTTAAATGCATAAACCAAGTTATACCAATAACAACTGTAACACGCTCAGGTCTGAACACAGCTATGCTAACTGCTGGAAGGACATACAGATAAACGAATAAGTTTTAGACAAGGTTTAAAGTCTTAAAACGTTTTGTGAAACTGCACTATATTTTTGCCAAATTATCACAGAATCACCGAGGTTGGAAAAGACCTACAAGATCATCCAGTCCAACCAACCACCCATCACCAATAGTTTTCACTAAACCATGGCTCTCAACAACATCCAAACGTTCCTTGAACACCTCCAGAGTTGATGACTCCACCACCTCCCTGGACAGCCCATTCCAGTGCCTGACCACTCTTTCAGAGAAGTAGCATTTCCTAATGTCCAGCCTAGATCTCCACTGGCACAGCTTGAAGCCATTCCCTCTAGTTCTATCACCAGTTACATGAGAGAAGAGGCCAATCCCCAGGCTCACTACAGCCTCCCTTCAGGTAGTTATGGAGAGCAATAAGATCTCCCCTGAGCCTCCTCTTCTCCAGACTGAACAATCCCAGCTCCTTCAGCTGCTCCTCATAAAGGGTCTGGAGCACAGGCCTTAACAGCTTTGTCGCCTTTCTTTCAACCCCTCCAGAGCCTCAATGTCTTTTCTTGCAGTGAGGGGCCCAAAACTGGACACAGTACTTGAGGTGCGGCCTCACCAGTGTTGAGTATAGGGGAACAAATCACTTCCCTGTTCCTGCTGGCAACACCGTTCCTGATGCAAGCAACTTCCTGGTAAACCCATTTTAAAAACCTTTAGTTCAATATCATTCCTACATATGTAGTAGGAACAGTTTTCAATAAAAAGTTAGAAATGTAGCTCAAGATTCACAGTTACTTAATCTGCTCTACTCATTACAGGAGGAATTTTAAAAACTAAGAAAGGTGAAGTGTAGCAGCAAACTTTTTGTACCTTCAGGAATACGAACCCAGCAACAAAATCTGAATGTGAGAAATTTATTTTTTTTTTTAAATACTTCGAGAGTGACAACGCACTGGAACAAGCTGCCCAGAGAGGCTGTAGTATCTCTTTCTCTGGAGACATTCAAAACCTGCCTGGACACTTCCCTGTGCAGGAAACATACTAGTGCAGGGATCCTACTTTAGAAGGGAGGTTAGACTAGATGATCTCCAGAGGTCCCCCTATGCTACGACTCTGCGATTCCACGATACTAGATTTATAAGCTTTCTTATCCTAACTTTACAGGACCAGAGAATACCCTGTGTTGGAAAGGACCCACATAGATTATCAAGTCCAACTCCTAACACCACACATCCAAACACAAACCTGGCAGCTCTGGGCCATGCCCAATGCCCTGTGCAGCCCATTCCATGCCCACCACCTTCTGATACAGACCCTTTCCCTCCCCCCCAGCTGCCCCTCCCCTGACACAGCTCCATGCCATTCCCTCGTCGCTGTCACACAGAGCAGAGCCCAGCGCTGCTCCTCTGCTCCCTGTGAGGAGCTGCAGCCACCATCAGGCCTCCCCTCAGCTCCTCTGCTCTGTTCTGAACAAACCAATGGGCCTCAGCTGCTCCTCTTTGCCATCACTGTAGCCCTCCTTTGAACACTTTCTTTATATCCTTCTGTTATGGTGCCCAAACACACATGCAGTGCTCAAGGCGAGGCCGCACAGAATAGACTGGGACAATTAAGTCCCTCAACCACAAGGACCCTTAGATCTCTGGAAAGCTGAACAGAGCATCTAGTTTGAAAAACAAGAGGCTCTTCACTACAGAAAGCACACAACCATCCCCAAAAAATTCTTATCTTCTCAGTACATTAAACTTTACAGCTGTAAAATTAAATAACAATAGAGACTGTCAGTGTTCCAGTGAACGAATGGGCAAAGAGGAAAAACTGAGTAGAATTTCACATGCTGCACTGACTTAAATATAGGTAAGTAGAATGACAAAATATCCCAAGTTGGAAGGAACCCACAAGAATAATCAAGTGCAAGATGACTAGAAAAATCATACTTGTGAATAGTAAGACATATGGCTTTCAGCTGATGGAATCCTCTCTTCTCTTCTTATTGATTTGTTCTGAAGAGCAGGAATGACAGGAGAAGGTTTCCTCGAGAACTGTAAGGAGTAAAGCAAGACTGAAACTACAATCCTAAAGGTTCTAAAATATACAGATATTATACACATGAAGAGTTTTGTTAACATGCTTCACTTGACAGTAAAATGCTTTTACTTATCCGTTAATTGAAACATTTTTATATTTTAACTTTAACCCTTAACCCCATAAAATGATTGCAAATATAGTTTCATGTGATTTTATTTACTACTTATAGAAGTTTTAATACATGTTTCTGTACTGCATGTCTTTTTTTTGTTTTTGTTTTTGTTTTGTTTTTTAACTCCAGCCAATTCCATTGTATTTGTCTGTTTTAGGAAATGATTTGTAGAAATAAGGAAGAGAAACAGTCCTGTAATTTATATTGTCTATCATAATCTTGTAATGGACTTCTCATCCAGGTCAAAGGAAAATAATTAAATTACAAAAAGCCTCTTTGATGAATATAAACTGTCCTTTAGTCCCCTAATATCTAACAACTTCTCTTTGTGTTTGGTACTCAGCAAAAGCAGGCTAAGGTTCTTCACAGCAGATTTAAAAAAAACAGAGTGCAGCTCACTAACATGGACATTGCTCTACAGTATTTTTAAATGAAACTTTAGCAGCAAGATAAGGCTCCACTGTACTATGTCTGATATTTTCCCATCAGCTGTCCTGCATGTCTGCTAAGTGTACTGGAGCTGAGGAGGCCAAGAAGGGAGCAATACTGGCAGAGGTCTTTGAAATCATACTTTCTCTTCAAAGCAGTTACTTTTATAAATTTGGAAGAAGTATTTGGTATCTTAGAAAGTAACTGAAGCATACCGTTTTCTTTTCCTCTTCCATCTTAGCAACCTTTTCCTTCTCCAAATACTGTCTAAGTTGTTCATCTCGCTTTTCTTCTTTTTCTTTCCTTCTTTTTTCTGCCTCTTTCTGTCTTTCTTCATCTAATCGAATCATTTCTTTGTTTTTCAACCTTCGCTGTAATAAAAACATTATCAGTACCTTAAAAAGGGTTCAACAGTTTTAAGGTTTTGCTTTTTTTTCCCTCTTTGAGAAGTTGGAACTCAATTAAGCTGTTAGTATGAAATATAAAAGTATATTCCAAAACATTCAAATTAAAAACAGTGCCTTGAAGATATTAATCATCTGCAGTCCTAGCTCTATAAACATTTAGTAGAATTTCTCATAATTTCAATACACACCAGTTTTGTCCCCAGATCCATGTCAGTCAGCCAAATTGTAGGCCATCATTTCTAAAAGCACAACATGATAGCAGTGACCCACAGAGAAAGGTCACAGCTTTAATCTTTCTATGAAAACTGATGAAACCAGTTGCTTCCTATGCTACCCATGCCCCATTCTCTTACCCAGAAAACCCATCCAACTACATTGCGCATTTAAGAGAATCCAGAACATAAAGTTCTAGAAATTCCAAACTACACCCTCCCATGTAATGTCTCCTAACCACAAAAGGTACTGAAAGATTTTCCCAGCTCTGATCGCCCTCTGTCCTTGTCTCAGAGTTATTTATGAGACTCTGAGTTACACAAATTTGTTCAATTTTCCACACCTGATCAATAAAGTTTGAGTTTGGATTAAATCACAAGTTCACCTCCGTAACAAATACTTATTAGACTTGCTTGGGATTCTTCCAAAAAAAGTAGTGTTTTATCTCAAAGATATATTCTAGCCTAATAATAAAACATGCTTTCTGAAATAAGCTGCATTCAGAATACAAAAATTGCATTAGAGCTAGATGGAAGAGACTAATGAAAGTAAATGTGTCTCTGTTTGTTTTTAATTGACCGATTTGATAAAACTTCTTGTAGTGGCCTCACTGACAATTTTCTTTTAATATGAGAGCACCTCTGACAAATATAAAACTAAATTTTTTCTGAGAAGAATTAATGATATTTCAAGTTGGCAGCACCCTGTAAAAAGCAAGAAGAGTGTGCATTAAAAATGATCATTTCCTACAATTTTTTCTCTCCTCTGACTAATGTAAGCAAGCCACTATAATTACAAAGGCAACTTCACAATATACTTCTAACTTTACCCTCTTGATCTAGAAGACATATTTCAAGGGGTTAGGTTAGGATGAAAGGAAGTCAAGGGATCAAAATATTACACCTCCTCCTCTTTCCTTCTTTTCTCTTCTTGTTCATCCTCATACGCTTTTTGAATTCTCCTCCTCTGTTCAGCTAGTCTTTTCTCTTCTTTTTCCTCTTCCAGTCTAAGTTTTTCTCGCTCTGCTTCTTCCCTACGTCTCTTTTCATCAATCTAGAAAACAATGCAAAGTAGTATTCAGCTATCAACAGACAGCAGTAATCTCATAAACATCTCCCATCGTGAACTTCTACAGAACTTTGAATCACTGCTCGTGCAACCAACAATTGTATGCAACAACTGAAAGATCTCAAAGGCCAGACTTACATTTCAATTTCAGGATTCCTTTAAAACAAGCCAATACTTTACTGTTTCTTTTTGGCCACTATTTACTGAACCATCTTTCAGACTAATTATATGTACTAGTAATAAAATCTGAATATTCACAAACATTTTCCTCTGAAGGTACTGAAATAACACTTTACCAAATAAATAAGAGAAGATGGGAAACCAAAGAAAAAAGGCACAGCAATTGTCTTCTCCACAACTGTATTTATAGACTCAGTGTTGACTTACTGCAGCCAAAGCCCATTCTTAATTATTTTTGGTAGCACTATACATAAAGAAGGACTCAAGCTTTTCATTAAGAGATACACATCATAGAATCATAAAATGGCCTGGGCTGAAAAGCACCACAATGATCATCTAGTTGCAACCCCCTGCTATGTGCAGGGTCACCAACCACCAGACCAGGCTGCCCAGAGCCACATCCAGCCTGGCCTTGAATGCCTCCAGGGATGGGGCATCCACAACCTCCTTGGGCAACCTGCTCCAGTGTGTCAACTCCCTCTGTGTGAAAAACTTTCTCCTAATACCTAACCTAAACTTCCCCTCAATTTAAAACCATTCCCCTTTGTCCTATCACTATCCACCCATGTAAACATTTCTACTCCTAAATTATTTACTATTTCCTTGATATTGTAATTACACTTATATCTAATTCACAGAGTGAAATTACACATAAAGTTCTATGGACAGAAGACAGAAACTGATAGAACAGCAGTCACACTTCACAAAGCTATCAACAAATAACCACATTATTACTGTCCCAATGACCATCTCATTCTGACAAACATGCACTTGTAACATGCTGATTTCCAAGGGCCATTTTTTTCCTTCATGCATTTTTGTATGTAAGCTTGTACTGTATGAACTGCTTAAGAACTCCAAACTGAATTTATAGAGTCACATTTAGGAAAAAAGACAATCTAAGTTAATGAAGCCAATTATTAATAGCATCATTTTCATAACCATTTATTATGAAGGAAAAAAAAAATCAAACAGATCCAACAGCATACAGCTCTCTGCATACATCCTGCTTGCAGAATTGGCTGTGACACGATGAAGCCTTTGGTCAACGGTATCTAATTTGATTTCCTTTGCCTGTAATCCCTCTTTAAAAAACAAAATAATTATTTAACATGACAACTGGTGTAAGCATTCACCTGTAGACGAAGAAAGTTTTTGTATGACTCTTGTCGCTTAAGTTGTTGTGGAGATGGTGGCTCACCAAACACATTGCCTCGAGCAAAAGGAGAAGTCTGTGCAAATGCAAAACCTAAGAGGGAGATAGGAAAAAAAAATCCAGGTAAAAAATCACATCAAATTGAAGAGAGCAAACCAGAGTGAAGAAGAAGGAATCTGAGATACTCCTTTCACAAAGTAGGTTATGACAGCCCTAATTCAAGGCAATAGCTGAAAACAGTTGCAATTGAAAGTTCTCACTGTCTGTCTAGAATGTTTTTACTGCTCAATTAATGTCTGAGCTACTGTATTGTTACAAAACAATACCTACAAAAGATTTTAGGATATCATGAAACAAGTCACATATTTTACCCTGAAATCTACAGTTTAAGATCCAAGAAAGTCACACTTAAGTTAATTAGAATAGCAAACATTTCATAATTCTATTGCTTGCCATCTACTCCGACTTAACACACAAAGCTCTGTTCCTCAATATTTAAAAAGAGTATGATGCAAAGTAGCAATGGATACTACAAACAACAAAGCCAAAAACTGGCAAATAAAATTCTAAGCACTCAGAAAACAAATTCTGCCATTGTAAGGCACCTTCTATTCTATGAAATTTGAAGCATCAGGTATCTTCGAGCTCAACAACTTTCTCCACTGTATTGGAAACAACATCACTGGGGACAGGTCACCAAGTTAATCTTCCTGAGTTAAGAATGTGTCATAACCATACAGTCCCAATAGCTCTAGAGAAGAGGATCAACTCAGATAACAGAACAGCCTCTGCAGAACAGGATCTCTACAGGAAGTGGAGGAGAAAGAAAATAAATAAGCTTAAGTTGTGTTCTCTTTTCAACTGATACAGCACGGTCCTCATTCTTACCATGCCTCCTCCAAAGGATCTAGTGCCTCAGGGGTGTGCAAACACCACAGCTGCACTAAGTTGAGATGAATACAGCTACAAGCTGTTCTCATGCTCCTCCCTTACTTCTCCCTGTGCAGTGGCTTAACACCCATGCCAGATGACAGCACAAAGAATATATACACTTATTCTCATAGAGACAGACAGGCTTGCTTCTACAACTCAGTTCTAATTACAGAATCAAATACTTTCAGGTTAATACTAATTTTCCTTACACTGAATCACTATTTGAATCCTTCCAAAATAGAATTAAATTTATATGTGGTTCTTTCAGAATGGATTTGCTTCACACAGAATCCATTCTGTGCAGAAATTCACAAGAAAGTTTATACATCATTTAAAAGGCATTGACTCAAGACAGACAAGTTACTATGGAATGCATCCAGGAATTAACTTACTGTGTAAAAGCTACTACCCTGAAAATTCCTGTTTAGCAGGAGGGTGAAAGATGAAATAAAATAGAAATAACCTAAACAAGGTCATTTTAACGTCTGACTATTTAACTGGGAGGTGCAAGGCTATCCTGGTCACAACTCTCATCCATGTCACTTTCTGTTCTCAGTGTCAGTGATCTAACCAGGTGACTCCTGGCTTTAACAGCTTTGCCTGTTTCACTTCTTACTAAATGGTTAAATACACAGTTATCAGGTAGGACAAGCGAGACAGCACAAAGAGAAAGGAAAAAAGATTCAAGAGTCAATGGTCATGACATTGAACATTGATCTTGGGAAACAGATCCATGTTCCAATTAACATCTAATCTTTACATAGAAGTGAAACAGATGGAGCAGGAAAAAGAAATCAGCATATAAGCTGACCTGAGGAAACCAGGACAGATCCTGGGGACAGGTCTGGAGTATCACAGCACTCTCATTCAGATGTCTCATGAAACATGAGAGAAAGATGCATTTGTTTTTTAAATAAGAAAGTCAAATAAAACCCCTAAAACTTTGAGGCATTGTGCAAGGCTACATATCTACCTAGTTTACCCATTCCCTCTTTGAACTTAACTGTGCCTGTTTCATCTTACATCATCATCTACCTACAGGCCTTCTCCCCTACTTTTATGGCATTTTTCTCCTACTATACAGTCCTGTTTCACTGCATCATTTAGAAGTAAAATACATATCAAGATTTGATTATGTAACTTCGAATCTGGAAAACTAATGTACTGATTCTGACTGACAATAGTTCTTTATTGATGAGACAGATAGGAAAATATATTTTCAGCACAAACGACAGCAATAGAGAAGTTTGCAGAAGAATAATTATATTGACTTCAATGGTGCAAGGCACTAATACTGCTAAAGGACTACAAGAAAGGAGGTAAAGAAACTAGAAGAGTTTGATCACTAAGACCTATAATTAGAGCTATAACAGTGTTCTTAAAAACCTGCTATTTTATTTGTAGATGCTCCTGCGTTCTCAGGTCTTGGTGAGGCCAAACTTAGGTCAACAGATACAATAGCCCTTTTATCTTCATATAATCTCGCTTCTGGATTATGATACGCATCTTCATTTTGCTTGTGCATCATATTCAAGTCAGCTAAAGGAAAGGGGAAATAACTGTTTATAGCATTTTGTTCTCACATAAGGCACGTTCACCACAGATTCTCATGAACAGGGCTTTTTAGCAGACTTCATTTCTGGACACAGCAACTACAGGAACAAAAAAAATTTAAGCAAAAGATAAGAATATATACGCTACAGTAAAATATTAGTTACAAAGAATTCTTTTGCCAGGAATGATTCCTCACAGCAAACCTCTATCCCAGCAGAAGCTATGAAATGGAAAGGCAAAGAGCTCAAACACAAAACAGACTGAAACAGTTGTGATGATGAACACCTATTTCCTAAAAGCTGTAAAATACTTCTCAGTTTAGAACTGGAATTTTAAGTACTGAATCTCTAGTGTGTTTGATTTCTGTTAGGGGCAATAACCACAATAAGCCATTAAGGTGTATTGGAGTCTTCATGTCACCTTAATAGTCCAATAGTCCAAGTGTTGACAAGTGCAAAATAGTGTCATCCAATTGTTTTTTTTTTTAAGCACATTTCTATCAGAATTTATACACTGTCTATTTGTTATCATATAAATCCTGGACGTAGATATCAATTTCAGCTCATTTTGAAACATTCACTATTACTCTGAAAAGGCTCATTTTCAAAATAAAGACAAAGAAAATCAACACTATTACATAGTTTCCAAACTGCATTTTAAAATAGTCATTCTGATACATAGGAATTACTGTAGTCATTTAAACATACAGGTTTCAAATACTTGAAATTACATCCCTGTCTGTAAAGGACCTTTTGCATCAGCATTTCAAAAGCTGCTTACAGACATTTTCAAGAAGGCAAAAGTCACACTGCACAAAATAAGAGACATAGCAGAAACAGCACGTTATGTTTGATGATGTTTCACTCCTACCTTATCCTTCAAGTTGCTAAAGTACAATGGGGTTAAATAACTTCAGATACGTAATCCAGGAAAACTAGCTAACAAGCTTCTCTCTTGGTTCCCCATTCACAAAGAAATTTCTGAGGAAGTATATACACACTCTAGGCTAACACAAACAACCTCTTTTTCCCCTGGCTTACATTACCCACACTGTCAAAAAGCCTGGAGCAAGAAACCAGGCACTCAAATGCTGTGCTTAAAGATAGGCAATGACATCTCTACCTGCTCTGGAGATAAACACGAGCTTCTAAACTTACTATTTGGGCACACAGGTTTTACAAAGCCTTTGAACTTTACCCCCATCTTCAAATGATGAGCCACACACCATTGGAGTGTCATAAAACTGAAACTTATTCCTATTCCAGGACTGTTAATCCTGTAAGCGTTTCATGCTTTCAAAATTCCCATATTTTAGTACCAGAGGACATATTTTGAAAACGTAATGGAACGGCAGCATCATATTCCAGTAGCATGATAACCAATTTGCATCACGCTAGAAATCAGTTACATAGCTTTAAGTCTCATCCATTCTGAAAGTCACTGCTTTTGTTCTGAACCATTATTATTATTATTATTGCTTCCACTAATGTATTCAGCTTTCCACAAAATGAAACTGACTGGTATCATACCCCTGAATGGGGATGAGAAATGCTTGTCCCAAAGACTACATTTGACTTCCTCTGGATAACTTGTTACATCTTCTCTTTCTTTTCCACATTAATTGGAAGCATTTAAATTCCTTCAGGTGGAAGGAGGAATAAAAAAAATGTCAAGTCCATTTCACTTACGGTTTCAGTGTGCTGTAATTATTACCTCTTGAATAAGCAACAGAATCATGAAGGAAACTGAATCTTTAACACTGAAATCAGGTTGGATCTGATATAGAATGAACATGGCATTTAAATTCACCCATGGAAAACCTACTCTAGTTTCCTTATACTGTAGGCCTCAAACAAATCCATCTCTCAATCACTGCTAAAGAGCCAGTGTAGCTGTCATCAAGCTAAGATGCTGAAGGCAAGAAACAAACTAGAATAGGCCAACAAGAGATAAATGGCTGGTGAGACGTGGCATAAGTCCTCAAGACACAGGATCAAATGTGAGCATGCAAACATCCTTCACTCAGCTGAAGTGATTCAGGGGATTTCCAAAATAGTTATGGCAATTACATGGGAGATGACACTCAATAAAAAAGGCAGCTTTTGTGGCACTTAATTTAATGTTAAGAAATTCGTTTTGAAACACGCTTACTGAGAACTATTTTTATTTCTGCACAAAACTTTGCTGTAGGGTTCACTAGAGCAACAAAACCGTACATAGAGAAAGCTTTGCCTAATGCAGGGACTATATCCAGGATCCAGAATCACAAATTTGAGTTTTACATCTACCTCTGATTTACAGGAGGCAGATAAACAACTTGCCCAGATTATAGCTATCTCCCAGCCTGCTGCTCCCATCTTGTATAAAGCAGCACTTAGAAAGAAATAAAAGAAATAAAATTTTAAAACATTACTGCTGACAAACTGCCATTTACACAGCCATTTGCCAGCAGTGCTACTTGGGGAGATTTAAATATTCCACTTAGGTTTAGATATTTATTTTAACATTTGCCACGTCACAAGTAAAGCTTTCTAAAAACCTGGAAAATGTTTATATAGAAGTCTCCAGAACAAACTTCAGCCTATTTCTACTGCAGCTTTTTTTTCCTCTTTCACCCTTTGCTATTGCATTTGTTCTTCATTTAAAGCTGACATCTACATTTTTTTTTTTAATTGTACCCTTTGAATCATTCTACTGAAATGAAATCAAATATTCCCAGAGTGCATCTGCTTAAAACAAGTATTTCTGTATATAAATAAAGCATTATCAGCTATAAAACATGAAATAACATATGTGAGTAGAGCCCTTACTGGAGGGAGAGAATCCTCAAAAGACAGCCCATAGTTTTGGTAAACATACTTATCAGATTTCCTTTTGCATCTCTGAGAGGAGCTCCACCACCACCTTTTCCCCAGGGATTGTAATTCCTCATTTCTGCTTCTAACTTGGCTTCGTAACGTTCCTTCTCTTCTCTCTCTTGTCTGCGTCTTTCCTCTCTCTCCCTTATCTAAAAAGAAACAATCCAAAGTTAGTTGCTTAAAAATATCACAAGACGTATAATTTGATTAAAAAGGTATAGGAGTTAAGCTGAGTGCTCTCATCACCTCATCTGTACCTAGTAAACTTCATTTCAGTGCCTACCAGGCAGACAGAACACCAAACTGTCACAACATGCAAATAGAGTTGTGTGTAATCACAGAGGAACACTTTGGAAGTCTTCCAAACATTCATGTCTGATACCTGCAGTAGATCAAAAGTCCCATATTCTTGGATCTTATGATAGAGGAGGTTGTACTGCTTCTCAGTCTGACACATTTTGTTCAGCCTAAACTCTGAGATTAGATAAAGACTTTTACCCATAAACACTAAGACAATGTGATACAATTCTGAAACTATTCATTAAATCGCTGTACTACAGTAAGACATGATGATATATGTAAATAATGCATAACTGCTCATATGGTTTGTTTTCCTTTGTGACTGCATTAAATACATGTAACAGTGTCCTTACTACTTCACGTAGCTTTTATAAAGAGAACAGCTGTTAAAAAAAAAATCTAACTTCTATTCAAAGCTCCTGAAACACACTACTATTCCTGTAGCTAAATTATGTTAACACATTAAGTTTGTTCCTTTCGTGCATCAAATAATAAAAATAAAATAAAGTTTCCCTTTATCATAGAATGGCTTGGATTGGAAAGGACCTTGAAGATTACCTCCTTCCAACTCCCTGCCATGAGCAGAGTTGCCACCTACCAGACCAAGTAATCAGACAATTTTGAATGAGATGCAATGAGTCACAACAAAGACACATCCAATCTGCAGACTGTTTCCATGCTTAGGGACATGATTCAGTGGAGGGTTGTTAGAGTTAGGGTAGTACGGTTAGGTTGAGGTTGGACTTGATAATATTTAAAGGTCTTTTCCAACCCAAGCAATTCTATGATTCTATGACTTTGTGTACAGTGAGAAAAAAAAAAGAACAGTATATTCTGCTCGCTTTTAATGATACACAGAATTATAGCTTTGAAAAATTATCTTGTCAGGATTACTAGATCTTTATGTCCAAGTGTGCAGTCTCTCACGTGGCAGTAAGCTTGAAAAGCTTGCTAAGCTTGCTGTTTATCTGAAGAGCTAAAATAAGCTAAAGAAAGGTCAGAGGACCAGTAGAAAGGAAACAACAGAGAGAGGGAGGGTTAAGGAAGCTTTTTACTAGCAAATGGAAGGAATATCTCTGAAAAAATACTATAGTTACAACCATTATACATTAACAAGAAAAAGAAGAAAATGTCACCAGCTTTTTAACTCAGTACCTGCTGCTGCAATTCCTGCTGGTAAGATAATGTTGCCTCTTTGTAAGGCTTTGACTTTTCTTCAGAAAATACTCCTACGCTTCTTTGTTTGTCTCCCGTATTCCTCTGCCCAACATTACTCCTGAAGCAGAAATCCATACATATAAAAATGGAAAACATCAAGCATCATAAGTTCAAGGGAAGGAAAAAAAATTTAAAAAAAGCTCTGCCCAAAATACATTACAGCCTAAGCAGTTTATCTATATAAGACAGAGAAGTCCACTGAATTATTACTTAGAGATTGTTAAATATAAAGTTTGAAGAGTAGCCTTTAACATACTTTAATTCAATATATCTTGTTACCAAACTACTCCCAACATGAAAAGCATATCAATACAGAGAAATGCAAACAAAGATCCAATACTTACAAAGAATAAATAACATACATATACAAATAGTATAAATTATACAACAAAGAATAAACATCATTACTTACACAGACTGCTCTATCGGGGCTTGGGCTAAAGGAGGATCCAGGTTAGGTGTGGGTTGCATTCCCATCATACCTGTGCCATCTGCAAAGTAAAACAATCAAAAACACTGTATTTGACATCTGTATTCATACTGAAATAGGAAAGGCAGTACTGTGCCACAGCAAGGCTTGAAATCACTGCACATACTATTGCTTAAGTCTGAGACAGTAAGAAATGCAACTCTAAAACAAATGTCATGCTCTCAGATTTCATGCCCTAGCTATACTCTACTTTGTGACAACAATCTTAACCCTGCAGCTGAACTTTAAGTATCCATTTGTTTAATACTCTAAACAGTAAGCCATTGATGACAAAACTAAAAAGAAACTTCTTGGATTTCAAGATTACAGACTCCCATCTTGTTTTTTCCTTGTAACTTCAAAGATCTATCAAGCCATAAGCTACTACAGTTCAAGACAAAGAGAAATTTACAATGGGGGGGGAAAGCTTCTGCTTTTAAATATCTAACATTCATGAAATTCCCCAACTGACATCAATCCCATTAAAAATTGCCATCAGAAGTTTTCTTTGTTCTGTGTTTTAGATTTTCTATGGAGGTACCAGAACAATTTTTTAGAAGTATTTCTGGTTCCTATCCCTACCACCTTCCTCCCTTCCCAAAAACCACACCAAACCTTCCCTACATCACCCTTATTTCACTCATTAGACCATCATAAGCAAAGGGTAAATTAAAACAAAAAAAAGTACACTGGTTTACTTAATACAGTTCCTTCAAAAACATAAGACATATCTGAAACCACAATAACCAATTAAGTATAAAATCATTTTAGTAATTTTGAAAAAAAAAAGAATTGAAACTACAAAGAAAGTAATGTGGGCAGCATAATGGCTAAGCAACTAATCTTGTTAAAGTCTTGAGATTTCTAGAAGCTGTAGCTTCTTTTTGCATCATTCAAAACCAATACTGGAGGAAAAAAAATCTTTTCATTCTCATATTCAGCACACAACTAAGAGCTAAGTACAAGCAATTGTTAGTAGTTAAATTATTCATCAGTTAACTTGATTAAAGACAGTTATCTGAATCACTTACATCCAACCCATCCAAAATCATCAACTTACAATATGCAAGATTGGGATCCAAAGGATTCCTTGCTCCGTAAAAGTAATACGCGTCATCGTAAGGTGTTCTATAGTTGTCTGTCAAAACTGGTGGTGGAGGTGGTGGCATAGGGGCGAGCCTTAAAGAAAACAAGAACCATTTTGGTTTGTTTCACAACTGAACAGATATCACTTAAAGAAATAATTAAAGAGAGGGAATTCACTGTGGGAAAATGTAGCTCAGTCCAAGAACTCTCATTAGTGCCACGCAGGAGCAAGACACAGTAAATCTCAATGAGGAGTCAACCTTCCCTTAGGGAGTAGCAGATGAATCACACTATTCCAGAAATCTAAGGAGCATAAAGGAAGCCCATCTTCTTTAACTGGTTCAGTTGATATTTGCAGGTTATTTCCGTAACAGCAAATAAAACAAGCAGTGCAGCTGTCTCTGACCAAAAAGCAAGCAGCACAGCACAGCTTTAGCTGTGGATGTCTCATCCCTGGAGGTTTTCAAGGCCAGCCTGGACCAGGGCCCTGGCAGCCTGATCTACTGTGCTGCAATCCTGCCCACAGCACGGAGGCTGCAATTAGATGCTCTGTAAGTTCCCTTCCAACCCAAGCCATTCTGTGACTTTATGATAAACCACTGTAAGAAAACCCTAGGTATGGCAATGTTATGTCAGCACAAAGTAATTTACTTTTAAGCTCTTTTTTGTTAATATTAAAATATTGCTTCTATCTTCATTAGTTCCTTGGAGAAGGACTGCAACACCGCTGAGCTCTGCCTTTCTATGCAGCAACATAATAAACACTGAGCTTATTTAACATGCAAAATCAAGGTGATGATCAAGCACCTGGGAGCTGCCATTTCACCAAGAGCACTGGCTAGCCCTCTGTGAAAGTCTTCATTCCCTGGAGAAATAGAAGGCATGGACACTGGAGTTTGGAAAGCAACCCTGGGCCTTTCAGGTGGTACTTTCTCTTCGGAAGTTCTTGCTGTCAAACCAAACTGCTTCAATCTATTTGGCTAATGGAGAAAAAAAGAAGTAGAAGAAAACAAGTATTTACCATGTTATCAACGTGGAATATTCTGAACCTCCATTTAGGTTGTGTTAGTACCACTAGTACCTAACTACCTGTTCAGATTTCCTGTAACTGCATTTTGCTTTTTCCTTCTTGGGGAACTACTGGAAATCTACTACTGCAAGGAGATCTAATATGTTTATCACAGATTTAAAAATAATCTTCAATGCAGGTTTCAGGAATTATATCACCCTAGTCATTATCCAGGAAGAAGTATTTACTTACTTATCTGTAGTACAGCTTAACCACAGCTGCTAGTTTCCCACACAGACAGCATTCTCATATTAAACAAAGGAAAAGTTTATGAAATCCACCCCCTCTAAAATTAAGAGTTCATAATCAGTAGGAATAAAGACAAACACACACTGAGACTTTCTCCAATAAACATTTCTTTGCAATGTCATTATTTTTGAGGTTCCTTTAAATTAGATTTTTGTCAAGCAGTACAATTACATTTTTTAAAAATATTATTTCTTAAATAAAAGTAACAAATGTTTATTGATAACTGGCAGCCTCAGAAAATGGTCAAAGGCAACATGCAAGTAGAACAAAGGCATGCAAGTCCATTAGTTTCACAACTATCCTACCACACTCACAAAGCCCCTACACCATCTGCTACACATAAGTATTTTAATATCTGTTTAAATGAACCAGTATAATAGAAGACCAAAAAACCCACCATATGCTGTATAAGTAAAATCAGATTGTTTCTGAATTTACCAGTCCTAACATTGTAGAGATTCAGCTACCGTGCATGCAGAGACAGTAATATTAGCACCAGCTAAATATTAAGTATCTAACAGCAAACTGCACGTCCTACAACAGGAAAGTATTTCAGCAAAATATTAAATGTTTACCTCCTCATCACTTAGCTGCAAGACAGTATATACAAGGCAGTTAGTACTCACCAGTCATGGACTACAGCATTAAGATTAGAATTCACAAAATCTAGATGTTATTTTTTATTTAACATTTAACTTCAAATTTCTAGTTATGAATATGAATAGCAGCAATTTAAAGTTATAAAGCTATCTACAGATATGTTTAACTTATTTTTTCAAATCTGGTATCTGGAGCAGGAGAACATTTAGAACAGCCTTTTTCACTAACAAGCTTAACATCAAGTGTTCCCAGCATCTCCCAGATTTCAGCTCTGGGGCTAATTAAAGAGGTAACTATGGCAGTCAGTTTAGCTTGAGGATTGTTTTCTTTTAAACAAGCAGTAAACACAACAGTCTACTTTTATATACTCTGAATCAGGCACTACTATTGAAGCAACCTGGAAATAATCAAGAAAACCACCTCACCTCTCTTCAAGATGCAATTTAAAGTTAACAGTGAGCGTTGCTTAATGAATATAGCAATTCCACTCAACCAAAGGCTTTCAGCCAAATTAATGATTTTTAAACATGTCCTGAACTTACTCTGGATGTAATTTTGCTCATACAAGTCCCTAACTGAGATGCATGCAGAATACAGAGTGCTTCCCCACAGTATGCATATAACTGCTCAGGTTTGATCAGAAATGCTCACTGCAGCATCCTCTGCTCAGTTTGTCTTCTTTTCTTGTATAACTCCCACCCATACATTTCAACCCTCTCTGAATCTCCGGTCAGCTCTAACCCAACTAAAGCAACAGAAGAGATTCAGATTTTTGCCACCTAAGCAAGCCAAATCAGTTTGTGGAAACAGTTCAAACTGATGTCACAGATGCTTCCAGCAGAGAGGCCAGGAACATGCAGCTGGAACACATGACTGTGCCCTATCTCCCCATGTAAAGCAAGAATTTTAGTTCTGCTTAGCTGTTTATTTAGCTGCATTTTCTGTCTCCTGCCTCAAATGCTGACTTTATTGCTGACAGTAAGCTACAGCAATACATTCAAATTCATTTTTTAGGAAAATGAGAGCTCCTTTCATGCCTCTCACCAGAAGTACCTGAAGTTCCTTTCTATGCTATACTTTCCTCAAAAAATAGTACCGCTGATAATTTAAGCTGGTAACCAGTTAAATAATAACCACTTTACTCTTGCTTGAGAAAGTTATTCATCCTTCGTCTCCAGTAGAAGACATCTACATCACTCAAGATGCACTGGCTTTGGCCTCTTAAAAAACAAAACACACATGCAAATGATGTGTGCAAATCATCATACTTATGTGACAAGCAGTTTGCCATGGATGTTACTGGCACTGACAGTCCACTCCTATGTATGGGATAATCAAAATTTTTACTAGAATTACCCTAATAAGGAAGTGAAGGCAGTAGTAGCTCTGCAGTTAGTCTTACAAGTAACACAACATTAAACATCCTGTTTTTTATTAAATCACATAAGAAAGCTTTTGCTCCTTAACATTCTCCTTACATAAGAAAAATTCCACATAAGTAGGGAAAAAAAAAAAAAGACCAAATTCCTCACCTTCTTTTCTGGGTCTATAGCCCCAGAAGCAGCAACTGAGAGTTCAAGTTCCTTCTCACTGTTTTTAACAACAAAAAAAAAAAAAAACCTCAGAAAGCAGCAACAACTAGACTCATTTTTTTCAAAGCACAAATATCACAACTCTGAAATGGCTATAACTCTGAAAATACAGAGTTGTTACATCATAACACACATCTATTTGATTTCTTTTGGAGTCAGGATACATTTTTAATAAATATATTCAAATAAACTATTCAGAACTATACTAGTAAATAATATATTGTAATCTCCAGTCCCAGGTTTGTTCAATATGTACAATTTTCAATCACAGTGAAGCTGTCAAAAGTAACTTTTTAATTCATTATCCTTTCATTGGCCTAATGGCGTGTTTGTGTATATCTCTATTGTTATTCAGCAAGCAACTACTTACTAATACTTAAGTAAGAAATTGGTATTTTATTATTCTGCATAAGTCATATGGTCAAGAACTTTGAAAGTGAAAGGTTACTTTCCTGAACTGGAGGGAAATAAAGATTTATTTTCAATTTTTCAAAGTAATTACTCACTCTTCTCCCACCAAGAAAGCTGAAAGCTGGTGAATTCATTAAAAACTAAAGTTCCCATTCCCCTAACTTAAACAGATGTAATTAACCTACCTAGCTTGAAAATTATCACATTCAGTTAATGAAATTCCTTTAAATTTCAGACACTCTCTTTTAAAAATAAAGTAACTTTCCATTACCGCCTCTTATTTCGCTGTTGTTCAGCCATCTGTTCAATTAATTCTTGCCTGTATTTCTCCTTTTTTCTTTGGAGAAGTTCTAGGTCTTGATCACCTAATGGAAATGGGCACACATTATGTAAACCCTTCACAAAATACACAAACGCAGTGGGCAAATGCACTGCAAGTCAGTCAAATCAGAAACACAAGACACAGCATGGTATGCCATGAGGCCACGGTATAATCTATGAATATACAGATGTTATAATTAAGAAATACACAGGAAAGTTAGGCTAAGTAAGATTATTACAATAGAAAGATAATAAATGGAAAATATTTACTGATGTTGTAGGCTCACAATACCCCCCACAAGAAGTGCTCTCTCCTTCCTCAGTAGCAATCAGCACTTAAATGGGAATTAGGAGAGGTGGAGCCAGGATCCACCCCTTCTGGTAGTACAGGTGAATTGCCTTCACCTGTGCTCCTGTAGCTGACTCATTGCTTGCCTCAGGTGGTTAATCAGAGGTTCAGGCCATGATTCAGCTGCTCCCACACATGCAACACAACGACACAATGACTGAAGAAGTGCTACTTCAATTTTACATTTTTATTCTTTTCCTCTTATGCTCCTCCACTAAGGAAGCTGCACTGTGGCATGTCCAAATTATGAACCATCACTTTGGATAAAAAGAAAGTTAAAACAAAAACCAGCCAAGCCACGGGGGAAAAAAAGCATATTGGTTTACTTTTAAGATGGTTTCCATGACTACTACAAATTAGAGAAGTACTGGCAGATACAAATATATAAAAGGAAAACAGGGATTACATCTCACATGGATTATATGAACTTGGAAAAAAAACCCCTCCAATTCTGGTAATTTCTCCAGTGTGTGGAGCTTTCTACTAATAATAAATTACAAAACAAATAACAATAAAAAAAACCATAACTCTAGATCATCAGTGACTTAGACCTGACCAGTGAAGTGGGCTGGAGAAAGAAGGTAAAAAAGAAGGAAAATAAATACCCACAATTCACAATTGCCTCAAGTTTCTTTCAATTATTGTGCTACGAGTGCAAAGTGACCAAAGTATGCAAGAGAACCTCATAGGTTGCAACTTGTAACTGAAACCACTTCCTATTTCCAAACATTTAAACTTTTACACAACCTAGTTACAATCTTCTGTGAGGAAGACTTTGTGTACTCAGGTGAGTACAGCGAGATGTTTGCAAACACAGATACAGCACCATGATTTTAATTCTGCCTTCAAACCACTGAAAAAATCATCCAGCCACATATGCTGAAGACCAAGTACACTCACATGTAAAAATAAACAGAAACTAATGCTGAAAACATGCAACAACAAATTATCCAATTTTGCCACCAACTAAAATTTAGCCTGCCCTCAAAGACTTGTATCTAAAGAACCAATTTTCTTGTTCCTGCCTTATTTTCTGATTTTAGCTAGGAATCCTAAATTCTTAGCAGTACTTCTCTCCAATAAACTCAATAATGATGTTCACTGATATAATGGCTACATTTAAGCAGCAAGAGATAATCAAATTATCTGTTTTTGCACACAATTGTGACCACCCATTCCCATACTTCTGGGATTCATTTTGGAGTATCAGGTTGTGGTGTCTTTGAAAATGTACAGGTTAACGTTTGTAACATTTTGTATCATTAAAAAAAAAAAAAAATGTAAAAATGTATCTGGGGTTTACCCTGATAACAACTAAGAAGAAATTTGGGCCCTTCAGAATTAATTAGAAAGCTCTACAAAGTTAAGTGGGAAAAGACCTAGTTTTTACTACTATTACTTTCTCTTTGTAAATAACACTTATTTACCAGTATCAGGGAAAATAAGTATGAAGAAAAAGTGAAATGCACAAAGAAAAGCTAATTATGTCATTAGATAAGTTTCTATACATACCAAGAATGAGGCCTGTAGCATATGTCATTTCAGGAGCAGACTTGGCAGGTTCATTAGCTAAAGAACTAATCTGTGCCTGATTTCTGGCAAAAACAAAGAAAACAAAAAGATCGGACTTGAGAATTTAGTTACGCTTTGTGTAAAATGTGACAGATGCATTTACATCTTAGCTTAGTATCTTAGCTGTAAGAAAAGCATGGGTAATTTTGGATTAGGGATTTTAAATAAGGCTTTTCCTCTCACCATGATTTTGTAGTACAAAACACATTTTATACCAGACCTAAAATTTCCAGTTCGTGAGATCCGTTGCACGTGTGATCTCTCCTTTAATTCATCTTCATAATTTGCAGGTAGATCTCTTACTATTCCATCCAGATCGGGCCTTAAAGAAATAGAAAATACTCAGCCATAGTTGCCTAAAAACATCTAATCTGAAATGAAAGGTGCAGCAGATGAATCCTCAGCCTGATTGCACACTGGATAACAGAACCAGTTTGGAAAATACTATGCAATTTTTTTTTTAGAAACAATTCACTTTGCTAGCATTGTCAGAGCAGCATTTTGTCTGGAATTCAAATTCCCAAGTCTGCTTTCATACAACCTTCAAGCCAAAGGGATACCACATCTCTCACAAAATGTCTTTTTACTTGAATGTCTGGCTGACTGCATGCTAGCTGAACTTTCCTGTGTAAAATTCACTTTTCCTTACAAAAACAGATATTCCCCTCACAAGGAAGACACTGAGGCTCTGGAGCATGTCCAGAAAAGGGCAACTAAGCTGGTGAAGGATCTGGAGCACAAGTCTCACGAGGAGCGACTGAAGGAGCTGGAATTGTTTAGTCTGGAGAAAAGGAGGCTCAGGGGAGACCTTATCACTCTCTGTAACTACCTGAAGAAAGGTTATGGCAAGGTGGGGGTCAGCATCTTCTCCCACGTAACGAGCAATAGGACTAGAGGGAATGGCCTCAAGCTGCACCAGGGGAGGTTCATGTTGGATGTTAGGGAAAATTTGTTCCCAAAAAGAGTGGTCATGTGCTGGAATGTGCTACCCAGGGAGATGGTGAAATCATCACCACCAGGTGTTCAAGAAATATTTGGATGCTGTACTAAGGGACATGGTTTAGTGGGTAAATATTGGTAGCAGGTGGACAGTTGGCCTAGATGATCTTGGAGGTCTTTTCAAACCTTGGTGATTCTATGGAATTCTTCACTGCAGAGCCAGTTTCCCTGACAAGTTTTATTACTCTTTGTTGTTTATACTGATACAACCACAATCCTACCACTGGTGCCAACCCTAGACAAGATCTCAGAAGTGATGCAGGATCACACACTTGGGTACTTGGACTGCACTGACTGAAACTCATCTTGCTCTTAATCCTAATGGATTAAGCCCACAACAACTTGAACCACAGCTGTTGGGTAAATGTAGTGAAACAGTCATTTCAGCTTTTTTAATGACAAGCTATTGTTAACTATGCACCTGATGACATTTGATCAAGATTAAAGACAGGTAAATATGGCAAATACCTGAATTCAGGAGCTGAAGTTCAAAGTGTTCACGTATGAAGAAATAAAAAAGAAACTTCAAATAATTCCAAAGATGCTAAAAAGGATAAGCACACTTATATATAAGCACAAGTGAGTTTTTCCCAAAAACATCTAGGGTAGCTGAATTTACAAGCTTTTCTAGCTCTGAAAATTACTCTGTATTGAGAATGACCAGTTACTTTGAGAAACTAAGGCGAGAATAGGTATTCTATGAAAAAATAAAGCACACAAAATACAAAGGTATATTTTTCAAAGCTGGGCAAAGTCGTGGAACTCCTATTAAAGAAATAAAACCAAAAAAATCCAATGTAAATATAGAAAGAAACATTCTTTCGTGTATGATAATCCACAGCTCTGTGAATCTCTGTAATTTAAGTTACAGCCAATAATCAGAGGCAAAAGGATGCAAACAAATTATTAAACACTGACTTGCATCTTAGTTTCTGTTATAAATCAAACAAGATCTGGAAAAGGTTGACTACACCTGAAATGTGTTAAGAAAAATGTGAAATCTTTAGAAGCTCAACTGTCAGTGGCAAGATGCTCTTTCTTTAAGAAGAAAAAATTGTAGTTTGTAAAAGATGAAGTGGAGCTCCTTCCGAAGGACAAAAAATACTGGACTACAAATTGCATTTAATACAAAAATGATGAAAGGGCATTTTCAAGTTAAAAAAAAAAAAAAAAGTCTGCAAAGTAGTAACTAACATACAGGTTTTACAGCAGTGCTTTTTTTCCTAAAAAACACTGACACTTCAGCTATCTTTGTTAGATGCTGAATCAAGCTTCTACACTGTTTCATTCTGCAAATTTGTTGGAGAAGAAGATCCTACTTAAGACTTCCTTTGCTCCATCCTGTGGCACAACATGGTAGAAATTAGAAATTTTTGTATTTTGCACTCTCTTTTCCAAACTACATTCAGCATGAACACACAGTCTTGCTCCTGCTGTCTTTCTGACCACTGAGCTTCCATTTTGCCAGTCTTATTCAGAAACATTACATGAGGAAATACGCACTTTTAAGCGTACTGGACATATAATCTGCACCTCTCAAATGCTTCCACACATTTTTCCCATACTTACTTGCTTAACTTCATTCCTTTATGATTTCTTTTTTTAAACACTAGAACTGCTGAGAAGTAAATGTCTCTACAAAAATACTTTTCAACATTACTGTACTCTACTGCCACTCGATACTAGAAAAGAAGCATGACTCATTCCATTTAGAAAACGTGTTTCCAGTAGAAGAGCATCCAGTAGAAGATTGTTTTTTCCAGATACTCATTTGCAATGCTATCTAGAATATTATCCTTGTAAACAGTGACTCAAAAGATCATTTAGTCAGTCCAGCAGCAACTAACAATTGCAGTACTTAACACCACTCAGAGTGGCAGAATTTGTCTTCTGTTATTTCTAGAAGCGTTAATTCTGTTTTATCTTGGGCTGTTCACAAACACATATATTCTGACCAATTAGTACTTATAAAAAGTACTTTTTCTGGTGTAACTTCATCAGTACCCTTGGTTTGTATATAAAATGCCACCTAATATACAGATTTGATTAGGTATTTGTCCCATTTTTAAACATTTTTCAAAAATGATAACAAAATTATTTTCTGAAATAAGTCCAAAAATTCTGTTTTCACATGTGAATCTTGTGTAACTTCCATTGAGATCAAACCATGGCTGTTAACAAGGACTACAGAAATAAAGTAGAAAACAAGAGTTAAAGATACCTTTCAGAATAATAAAGCCGGGGAGGTTTTCTTTCATAAGCACTTTCACATCTAAATCTAGGATCTAATTCTTCACTTATCTCGGGATCATAGTCCGTTCTGTAGTATCTTCGATCAAAGTCACGATCCTCATCAAGTCTGTGATACCTTCTAATAGGAATTAGAGATTGGTTCGCAAATCCCCGATGTCTTCTACTAGGAACATCCAAATCTTCATCAAGTCTTTTATTTAATAGTCGACTTCTTAATTCAATTTCATCATCTAGCCTATGGTACCTGTCTTCTTCCAGCCGTCGCTTATTTAGCTCTTCATAACCTTCTGTGGAAGTAAAGGCATCTTTCCTGAGAGGTTCTGCAGCTGTACTACAGGACTCTACATCTGGACGTAACTCAGGTTGGAGCCTGGTAACAGCAATTGGTTTTTTATTCCTGTCCATCTGATGCTGTTTAATGGGAAAAAATATTTAAAAATTTGAATATAAGCAAATCACATTCGAGGAATACAAAAGCAAGTTTTCATTCAAAATCTGACTGAGGAAAAAAACAGCTATATCTTTACAGGCCCTGCACCTAAGATTTTGAGTAATCAAGAAACAGGGGACACAAATGTACGAAGTCTGATCCCTTTCTCTCCGAAGTTCACACAAAGAAAATTTGGGTAGCCACTTGAAATTGTCAGGTTGGATAAGGCAATGGTGGCAAATTTGTAGCTGTCTATAACCTAAGAATCTCTAAATGAGAAATTGTCACTGGCACTGAAACACATTAAAGAAAGGCTTCAGCTCAGAATTTGAGATCTATCAACTACGTGCTCAGTCTGTATTCAAGAATAAAGACATTATTTTGACTACAACTGCAAGCATCATATACTGGACAGCTAGCACTTGTTTTGCTTTCTCCTGGACTGAACTCGGACTGAGGAAAAGCAAGGAGCACTGTGTGGTGCTCAATATTTTGTCCAATGAGACAGCTTCTTTAGCCACCACTTCTACCACCAAGAATGAAGTGGAGACCAGTTTCAGAGAACGAAAGCATTCTTCTACCACACAGACATGACAGAAGTAAAAATCAAGAACTGCACTGTGCCATATGACTCATACTCAGGAATCACTAGATACCATCCATGAAAATGCGGCCCAGGTAAAAAACATTCTTTGCTCCTTTTGTCTTATTTTGCATGTTTTAGTCAAGAATGAATAACCAACAAGATTATTTATGTTCTCTTTTCTATCAGCTTCAGTAAAAGTGAATTACCTCTGTGCTTTTCTTTGCTAGTTTTCTTAGCTTTTCATTCCATTCTTCTTTATCCCTGAGATACTGATTGTAGTCCTTGTTTCTTTCAAGACGTAGTTTCTCCTAGAACAGACATTGAGAAGTGAATCAATTTTGCATTTTGAGTGGTAGCTTTTAAATTAATCTCTTCACCTTATCCAAGAAATAAGGGATGTTTTTGCAGGGCACCTTAAAGACTGCAGAAACTGCAGACAGCTATGAAAGCTGCCAGAGGGGTATTCTCCTAGGCTAAGAGACTAACATCATCCTTAACAGGTTAAAAGCTAGTAAAACACCCAGCAGAAACATCAGTATGCTGGGTGACTGCACATTTTACCTAGTGCAGAAAACAAAAATGTAAGCATTACTCTCTAAGCATTATCTGCAGAAAGGCTGACTATTTAGCAGGGCACAGTGGGACACCTTCTGGCAGCTTTTAGTTTCTACAGTAGCAATACATAAATGGATAAAGAGAATACACCAAACCTCTATACAAAATCTCAACTGAATGTCAAACTGCTATTACAAAAAAAAAAAAAAAAAATCCCAAGTTCAGAGGTCTTTATTTTCCACAGAATTAACCAAAAATATTTTTCACCATTCCCAAAAACTTGAAACCAACTTAATCTAGCACAAACACATTCTTCCACTTCCCCAAGCATTTCACTCTTGCTGCCTCCCTTTGTCTTCACACTAATATAATTTTGGGGATTCGGGGCTTTTTCATAATGCTTTTCATTCATTTGAGGTCTCGTGGCTCCTCATAAGCCCAAACATTATTGTCAGGACAAAAGAAGGCAGAAAGAATTTATAAGCACAGCTAGGACGGGAGCAACACATTCCACAGCAGAAGTCACGTGCCAGAGTACAGTGACTGCATAGCCACAAACAGAGCAAGAATGTAATTCTAAAATAACACAGGTTTAAAAAATATGCATCTACAAGGCTAAGAATGCAACAACAGTCTAGTCGTCCTCCAGCTCTTTTCCTTGTGTGTTGACCAGGGTTTTAACGATCCTTACAAACCAGTAGTAATCAACGAGTCAGCAGCAATATTTAATAAATGACAATATTTCTGCTGTTTCAGTGTCATGGCTCAATTCACAAGAAAGCACAAGAAAGGAAGAGGTAATATAATGCAAACTGTGTGAGGGCTTCAAGAGTCAAGTGACCCCCATAAGACAGTTTTAGGCCTTCACAGAAAGATACTATGCCTCAGAACAATGGGGCAGAGATTAATAAAAACCATACATGGGTGTTGCATCTTCATGTCTAACCCCCACCAACATGCAATAACAGAGACTGACCTAGTTGATACATTTCTCCAACATATGAAAACAAAACTAGACATCTCAGAGATCAGAAGGGGTTACATCTAGAGAATGTGTGTTTTTCATCAAATACATTAGTATAGTTCTCTCAAAGAAAAAACAAACATGGGAAAACTGTACTAACAGTAGCAATTTGTGAAATAGCAGATCAGCTTTTATTTTACATTCATGGATTAATCTGTTTAAAATAATGATCACATGACAATAAGCAGGTAGTGTACAGACATGTAAGTGTACAGTGAAAGAAATGAAAACAAGTTGCATATAGGAGAAAGTACACTTTCTGTTAAGCTGTGATATCACTATAGAAACCATTGTAAGCAAATATTTTTTAAATTGATCTTATCATCAGTCTGGAATAAGTAAAAAATCAGAAAAGTATACACAGGTGTAAGAAAAAAGTGTCTTTTATTTGATTGGTATGCACAGCTGGACAAGAACAAGCACAAGCAGGAGAGCTTTTAAACACCTCAAGTGCCCTGTAAACGTAGGCAGAAACCATTTTTGTGTAACAGTTAAGACATCTGGGTTCATTTTCAAGTTGTACACCATTTAATTTCCTCCAGGCACTCACCTTGGCAGACCTTCGCTCATCAATAGGAAGAGATAATCCCTGAGTATAAGGGTCTACTTCACCTGTAGTCAGGTAATTTTTCTACAAGGAAGAAAGAAAACATAATTCACTACACTTTAGAACACTCAATCTCACTTGCTAAATAGCTGCTAGGAATTATAGCTGCTGAAATGTACCTCATCAGTTCAATGAAACAAAGACAGATGATAGCCATCATACACTGAAGATGTGGGATTTTCTCAGAACAGATGAAGTGAAGTCAAGAATACGGTAAGTGAAGGGCTTTGTTAATTCTGAGTGTTAAGCTTATGTTTGGAAGTGTTCATCGCACTTTCTTTTATACTACCTCAAGGACTATTTAGTCTCTACATATTAAAAGATAAACGTATTAAAAATTTAAAAAATACTGAATTCTTCTGTAAAATTATAAGCATTAAAAGATTTTTCCAAGACGTTGCTCTACTTAAGATGAAAAATTAATTTTTCCAACTAGAGAAAACGTTGGTTTCTCTCTTATCTCAACAGATGGAACCCATGCTAATGCTAGTCACCACTCTTCATATCAATACTACCTGTTTCCTACAACAGCAATCACCAACATTTCCTGATAACAACCCACTACCAAACCTTGCCATTCCTTATGGAACATCAGTTACTTTCTTAATGAGCTTCCAGCAGAAAACACGATGGCACTGTTTAGCCCAGCTCCCTGGGTCACAGCATGAAACTGGGCTGTAGAGCTGGCCAAAACATCAGCCCTTCCAGCCAAACACCAAGCAATTCTGGAACACACCTTCAGTCTCGAGGTCTAGCTGTCTCTTCACACATCACTCCTTTACTAAAAGCATCCTCAAACCATTCTCAGTCAATCAAATTATGTTTTATAAATATATTTATTTAAAAAGCTTATTTATTTCCATGATTTGGGCTGACGAGGGGAATTAATGGTATTGCTATAGATACGGTATTTTACTAGAATGGAATCTTCCTTCTATTATCTATGCTGTAACTTAGCTTAAAAGCTTAGAGTAAATAGGTAAGAGCTCTGCGTGCTCTGGTACAAAACCATGCCATTATGACTTATACATTCCACAGCTACACAAAAGATGTAAGGGATTTAAGCACCGTGCAAATATTCAAACGCAGAGACAGCTATATTAATACGGAGAACTAAGCTACATTTCCTAGAAAAAAAATAATTATTTTATCTCTTCCTCAGGCTTTACAAGCTTAATATAACATAACTGAAAAGCTTAAACATCTAAATATGTAGAAAACAGAATTCAGTTGGGAACATAATACTAAAACTCAACTCAAAAATTTTATTATTCAGGTGCTTTGGTGGGAATTATTAAACTGATTAAGTTTTCATACAGTATTCTAACTTCTGAAGTTTCAGATTAAACAAGAAACAACAATTATATACACATCATTTCAACTAGAAGTTAAAAAGCCTGTTCATTCTGCTTTGCTGTAGTAATTCAGGAATTCCAGTGCATGCTTAATGTATTTTGTTTCACATGCATGTTATCCATAGCCCAAAAAAGAACAGCCATTAATTTTCTACCATGCTACCTTCTGGTCCTTTACTGAAGTTGCTTAATCTGAAAAACCTGGATACACAACATTAAAAATGTGAAAACTAACCATTAACATGCATGACAGCATAATGATATATAGCAGAATTGCTACAACTGAAGGCAGCTCATAAAGATGTGCCTCTGCTATTGTTTTTCTCAAAATACTTCATTCTTGCATTCGAACCACTCACTGCTGACTGGCTTCATGCTTTTTAAAGCACCACTGATGAGATTTCACTGTAATTCCAAGAGCATTTACAATATTTAAGAGCTCACTATTTTATCCCATCTTTATTATGAGTTGAGATATACATACTTAACACCTATCTAATGTATGCCTTGAAGCAAATGTTTACTAAAATAAACTTCTGTACAATCAGCATTAGGCAGTAACAATAGCAAATGCAAAGGAAAACAGAAATCAGCAAATGTTTTTAAATCATAATAACAGAAAATAATAAATAAGCAATCATTCTGCACAATACAAGCAATGCAATTAATCACAACTAATCACTACAGCACGAACAAATACACAAAGCACAAAAAAAGTAATGATTTCTTTTTTAATTCAAAAGGCATGAAGCTTTCAAACAAAGCAAAAAGCTACTAATTGAATAGGGAAAAAAAAAAAAGATATTGCAGGCACCCTACCTTTCTTTTTGCCTGCGAAATACCCTAAAATCAGGGAAAAAATACTATTCAAAAAAATGTCTTCTGTTCAAAAACATTTGACTTCGCAAGAACTGATTATTTTCTTACAGCCAATCCATTATTCCATTCTAAGAACTAAAGGCACTGATCAGCATTTTCAAATGGAAATTATTTGCTTCCTGATTTTTTGTTAGTGCGACCTGATGCATTAAGAAGGGATACAGAATATTCCCAAGATTAGGACATTTCATACATACCATTTCCATTTAAAATTATTACTGTTGCAGATAATCAATCCTGCTAAGCAGAGCATGGAAGTTCTTTTATCCCTAAACTAAAAAGAAGCCAGGAAATGGAGTCACACTACTTAGAGGAATTACAGACAGCAGAATAAATAAGTACTTAAGGATGATATTTTAGAAGAGTGTGATATTTAAATTCTTAAGTAATAAGAAAGCAGTAAAGAGACAAATAAAGGAATTTTGAATACTGCTAGATTCTAAATGGCAATGAGATCTAAAATCTAAAATGTATTCTAGAAGCCTAAAATATAAAACCCTTTCCAGTGGTGACACTTTGAAACTGCTTTTATTCAAAAGGTCTTTGAAACCTTTTGAATAAAACCTTTGAAATTCATAACAACTGCTTTCTTATCACAAATTTCCCACAGATCTTATTCAGTTTTATTCAATTAAAATGACTCTTATTGTAAAAGACTCATTAAAGTCAGACAACCAGACAAGAACCACTACCTGAGAGAGATATCGCCTATAATCTTGTCGAAGTTCCTCTTTTAGTTTATGCTTCTTTCGCTCATATTCTTCTCCGAGAGGTAAACTCCAGCCATAGTCACCTGAAAGTTTAACTCTGATAAACATTATTATTCTACCATTTGGAATCAATACAAAGCATATACTGCAAAACATACACCTGGATTTTAATCAGACGTGGCAAAACATGAAGATTGACGCAAGCAGCGAGTACAAAACAAATGAAATTAAAACCAACTCTCTCTCTGTGATTAGTTGGATGGAAAGCATGCTAGAAAAATTCACTGTTTGGGGGATATCGGTTTTCCTCTAGTCCTTGTGTTTTTCTCTCCCCACTGGAATAAAAGAGCAAATTAATTAAAAGAGAATATCAACTACCTACAATATTTAGGTTATTCTGACTTGTTTCTTTTAACAAATGTTTCAAAGGAAATCTCTCTTCTTTCACAGATTACTCTATAAATAATTGATATTTTAGGTACTGCTAACCGCACAAGACGAAATATGCTGAACTAGAAAGCAGGAAGCTGCTCATTTAGCATGAAACACACAAAATCCACATTGGCTTCCAAACTACTAGAAGGAATCAGACTTTATAATAAACATATTCAATTTTTCTTTCCACTTCAGTGAGTCATACTTTTTTTTTTATTGAAAAATTCAAAACACATATTTAGTTCATTTTAAGAGTTACTGTGTAGTCTTGTAACACTCTTAAAATACAATGCTGTGGAAGTTGGCTGCTGTTCCTAGAATACATTTATCTACTTTGTAAGAAATATGCTCTGTCCTAGCAGACCACTTCTGCTGAGATTTCCATCACTTCCCACAGACAAAAAACACACAATAAAAGGACTGCAACTTTCATTTTAATTGCCAGTTGTTTCCCTGAAAGCGTTTCCACTTCTTTAAAATAAAAAGGACAGCTTTTAGTCCCACTGAATGCTGCAGAATTAAACCAAAACATGGAAATAAATGAGGTACAAAATCTAGGAATCTATACACAAAAAAAGGATTGCCTACCAACCAGGAGGGGACAAAAAAAGCTCTAAAGTTGTCAGGACAACCTAAGCTACAATCGCAGTAGTAGTGCCTACAGAAAGGAGATGGTATGACAAGGAGGGGAGGATGATGCAGCACAGAATAAAACAGGGGAAAGAGCATTGTCACACATCCACAAACCAGAATCACAAATGACACAGAGAAAAGAAAGAAAACAGAATGATACATATGGGAAAAAAAAACCCAAATCCCACAACTGTGATTAAAAAGTCCAGTCACAACACATTCACAAATCTAATAGTTTCACTGGTCTTGGAAGAATTCTTAACTCAGTGCTTGCTTTCTCCTGTATAATGTATGACTGCATCATAACATCTTTTATCATAAAAACAACAAAATCAGTTTAGTACTCTATGCCTAAAAGTTTAATGGATATTCAGCATTTGCAAGAAAAAATTACTTTAACTGTGTTTGTTTTAGCCAGATCTGAATGAGCCTTGTAAGCTGCGAGGCCAAAAGAAAAGGCATCCTTACTTCCCTGGCACAAAGCACAGAGAAAGTGCTCTTCAACAGCAAGATGACAGTTCAGATGAAAGATGGACTTCCAAAGCTTTTGCTTCCAGTACCTCACATAACAGGAAAACATCAATCACCTACTGAAGACTAAAGAAACAATTTTTTGTCTTGCTTTTTTTAAATAATGCTACTTCTGGAGGAAAAAAAAAAGTGCTTTGCACATTTTCCTTATTCAAATCCCAGAAAAAACAATAATAATTATTACAAAAAATTCCACACAGCATCAAGATACTTGAAAGAATAAAGAATCAGTATGCACTTCAACTAATGCTTTAATTAAAAATCCAAAGCAGTAATTGCTTTCCAAAACTTCCCAAAGGTGATCAAGCACTACTTAAACCCACAAGATGCAAAAAATATATACTATACCTAAAGGACAGTTCTGCTGACTGTTTGGAGGTATGTTTTCTTTAGACATGGAGATGAACATTTTGCCAGTCTCAGAAAGCTTCTCTGATTCCTTATTCTGGAATAAAAACCAAAAAACACAAAAGTTTGCATCATCAGTAAGAAATGTCCCAACAACATCATTAATCATTAACATCATTAACAACATCATTAATTTGAGAAAGGAGATTGAAAGTAACGTTTTAGCACATAGAACAGGTTATAAACCTCACTGATACTATCAGAAAAGTAGCTTCTCCTCTACAACACAGAAATTAGCTCAATAATTTTCATGTCATAAGGTATTTCAACTATACTTCCACATGGTTTCATAGCTTACATGTATCATCTCTGTTTTCTGTGGGAACTGAACTGATGTACTGCACTCTGCTTGAAACCATGAAAGAACTTCAAGGTATTTCAGGGCAAGATGAAAGTACCTGATCCCTGTAACTATACTTTCACCACACACCTTCAGACTTTATCAAACCACAGGCTGGAAACATTCTCCTCCTCTTTATCTTAGTTTTGTGCAGTGGATACAAAAAATGCAGGCAGCCCAATGACTCTGTAAGAAATAACTTTCTTGGGAGATGAAATACAACTAGGTAAAAATATTGACATCACCTACATAAAGGGAAAGAAATTCCAAATAACCTACCAAAACAAAACCAGGAATGAAACATTATAATTGCATTTAAAAGCTTAAGCTATCTGGGGGTATGTCCACCCACTTTTATTTCTCCTTTTAAACTAAGGATCTAATTCAAGCTGCCTGAGAGTTACAGTAGCTAAATAATTTAGATGACAGCTTCTTGCTAAGTACAGTTAAAAAAAACTAAATGGTGATCTGCACATTAGAAAAGATGCACAGCTTTAGAGTCAGGTGCTAAGATTTCTAATAGGAAAACCATGATAAGAACAGATTTGGTTGAACTGATTGGACTAAGTACTTTTTTTTTTTTTTTTTTTTTTCCCCTATTTTGTAGTTTCCCTATCAGAAACGTTAAGGCTATTTTTCTACCTTCCACTCCCATCCCACCACCCACTCTCTTAGAGTGGGCAGAGAGCGGTTCCCTAAATGGAAAATACAAATGTTACTGTGTATGCTTGGTGGCAAACAGCTTATAAAAAGACCTACCTAAGTACAGATAAGAAGTATCTATGGTAGAAATGGGTTTGACTAGATAAATCATTAATATATGTGTGTGCTCTAACAACATATACACCTTTAAGAGCATACTAAAAGCAAGCTTAAAGTGAGATCCTAGAAATGTGTTTAAATTCAGAGAAGCTATTTAATACTCTTACCCTTATTTCCATGTAAGGTGGATCATTTTCAAGCTCTGCCTTATCTTGTGCCAATTTGGCCTTCTGATCTTCAATAAACTTTTCTAAATCTTCTGCCATCATTTCTAAGTTGTAGGAAAAACACATTTGTGTCAGAATACAGAAGAAAAAAACAAACCAGAAAACATGCATTGGAGTTGGACAGCATACTGTTACTTTTTGTATCAATAAAATAACAGGAGCAACAGGAATAGCTACCATCTTGCAATTATGGTACTACCATGGATACCAGGCAGCACTGCATTTAATCAGACATGCAGTTGATTGCCTCCTCTGTTAGCTGTGCATCTTGCCTACGTAGCTGAAAGCTCTTCAGAGTTGGAATGTTAGCATCATTGTAGTGCAACTTATTGTACACTGCTGCCGCTAGATAATTTCATAATAAAAATTAAAAGTGAATTAATTTAGTGATGGTGGAATGGTACAGAAGTCAGGGCACATCCTCAGGTTTCACACAGCTGGTTTGGGTAGGCTTATTAGAATTAGAAATGCTGAAAAGCTTCATACTGCATAGACATGGAGGAAAAAAAAAGAAGGAAAAGAGTGACTGCATTCAAGCCCACTCATCCTAATCTGAGCATTTCCACCAATTCCACTGAAGAAAGTCATGTGAAACCATGCCAATGGATAAAAAAAATCTTATGTTATATTCTACTCTTACAGGAAGAATGAAGCGAGAAGGAAATCAAGATCCTTAAGTCACTCAGATGCTAACCCCATAACTTCTGCAATGCAATTGCTTGTGAAGGCTTTCATCAATCCCATCCTACCCGGGTTCTAAAGTACAGACTGTACAGCAGTTTAAATAAGGCTAATTCACTATCTTGCTAAAAATTATATTAAGTAAACAATAAGCCCACAGTAAGAAGATACTAAATAATTTCAGGAAGAACATCAAAGAAATTCAAAACAAAAATAGAACCACCAGGAATAAAACACACACACACAAAGCTCAGGAGAATAAGACATTAAACAGTAAAACATGACACAGCGTTCAGGGAGAATGTGATTAATGCTTACTATGAAAATCAAAACGAGAGAAGTAATGTCAAAATTGCAGCAGGTAAATAAGTTAATGTGCAGTTAACTTCAACTTCAACTTAAGGAATACAAGGAATACACCTAATTGAACCTTCACGTCTTACATGAGTGCTCTCTTGGATTGAAAATATGAACTCTGATATTGTTACAAAGGAGGCAGAACTAGGACATCCTATTTGCAAGCCCTAGTGGTACCACAGGACAAACAGTTCCAAAAATAAATTCCCCATCTGATTTGTGCTAAAACTTTAATCTCATTACTTTTGCACAGTGATAACAGATCAAAGATATCTATGAGACGGTAAGATTTCAGGCACTGATGAGTTTCACTGAGCCTATTAAGTTACGTAAGAATAACGAAAAGCCTGTTAAATAACTTGTCATAGAATCATAGAATTGCTCAGGCTGGAAAAGCCCTTAAAGATAATCAAGACCAACCTCAACCTAACCATACTACTCTAACTCTAACAACTAAATCATGTCCCTGAGCACCACATCCAAACGGTTTTTAAACACATCCAGGGATGGTGACTCAACCACCTCCCTGGTGAGCCTATTCTAATGCTTAACAACCCTTTCTGTAAAGAAGCGTTTCCTGATATCCAACATAAACTTCCCCTGGTACAACTTGAGGCCATTTCCCCTTGTCCTGTCACCTGTCACCTCTGAGAAGAGACCAGCCCCTCAAATCTAGTAATACATAGTAAAAAGTAATCATCTTCATGGCATCAGCGACACAGTGCAGCATCCATAGCAGAGAAAATTCCTGCATGAAGGAGCGTAAGCTTTATGAGACAGGAGAAAATGGCAGATTATACAGTTGCACAGATTTACTTGTCACTGTCACCTCAATCCTAAATAAAACAGTATGCTGTTGGTTTAGCAATGTGTCAGAATAATGGTGTGAATTACCAGACCCTTGCAATCATTCCTAGTGATAGCAGCAGGTTCAAAACCAGGCTTGAAGACATCACTCAGTGGGTACCCTGTGTAGAGCAGGAAAGGACCACGTGGTAAACACTGGAAAAATCTAACAGGTATCCAGAATTGTATGGTACAAGCAACAGATGTGTCAAGATATTCAAAATAAAGTATTTTGTAAATGCTATTAAAAGCATATATGTTTTTGACAGCAAAGATCTGTCGGTTCTTCCTTCAGCCCTATCTTAAAACTTGTATTTGCATGCCCACAGCACAGTATCACTCAAATGAAAATTAAATTAAACGTACTATTTGTTCAGCTAGAAAAAGCCCTAAAATATATATATTTCATATATTTTAGTTTTCAAGACTGTTTAGCTTGGGTTTTTTCCATACCCTATTGCTTTTAAAATGGAATTTTGCATAAAAGCAACTCTGATAAACACAAAGCCAGATAGACATCACCTCAGTCACATACAGCAGGCAATGGAAAGGGTAGGTACATTCAAGAGAAAAAGCCATGCCAGAGATAGACACTGGATCTACATCCAAACACAATTAATAATGCATGTCTCCATCCTCGAGACACTTGAGCCACCTGCTTGTATATGCAGTCAGTATATTGCAGTGAGCTCTGTGCATCTCTTTCACTACCTAGGGAAACATTCAGTGCGCTCCTTTTTACCACAGAACCATAGAATTGCTCAGGTTGGAATAGACCTCACAGATCATCAAGTCCAACCACAACCCCTTCCCTTCCCCTCATATTTCTTCGAGGAAGCGAGGCACAGGATCTAAAATCAGCACGTGTGATCAGACAGACTGCATGCTGTGCTGTCGTAATTCTAAATATCCAGAAAACCTGACAGATGGCCATTCTCCTCCATAGAAACTGCAGCAAGGGTGGCAGGGGAGTGAAGTGCTCCAAGAAGCTCCCACGTGTGACGTTCAGTAACTGCACTTACAGGCATACTCACAATTAACGAACTCTAACTTAAAAAAAAAAAAAAGAAACAACATGACTTTTCCTAACTGCGAAGGCAACCATCCACCGAAACACCAAGCCGATGAGTTCCGTGAGTCATTTCCCCTCACATTAAGACCTCACCTACATTTGCAGACCACGTCCCGCGGCCCCAAAACAAATTAACTGGAGGAAGCCCTCAGGGACGGCTCACGTTTATTTCTCCAACAGCGCAGCCTTTCCCGACGCGGGCGGCCCCAGCGCCCCTCCGCCTCCCCACGCCGCTCCCGGACCGGGGCGGGGCTGCGCGCCCGGCCCCTCACAGCAGCGCTACTCCGTTGTCAGGCAACGGCCGTACAACAAGCGGCTCCCGCCGGAACGCCCCGCCGCCCCCACGGGGAGCACAGAAGCCCGCTCCGGCCCCGCGCCTCCGTTCCCCGCTCCCCGCTCGGCCCCGTCCCGTTACCCCGCCGCTCGCCCCGCGGAGGACGGCGAGGTCGCCCGCCCCGTTCGCAACCCGGGGCGGACGCTCGGCCTCCGCTCTGCGGAGCCGGGAATGGGGCAAAACGGGGCGAAACATCACCGAGCGCCGTCCCAGCCGCACCGCCGCTCACCGGCGCTCGCAGCTCCGTCCGCCTCCCGCGCCAGTTGCCGCCTCCCCGGAAGCCGGCTGGCGGCGTTCTGTCGCCCCGGAGTGCTTTCCCGCTAGCGCCCCCTGCCGCTGCGGAGGACCCGGCCCGGGGCCTGCGCGGACCGCACCACCACCTCCCCGCTCCGCCCAGCGAGTCGCGGCCTGGCTCGGGCCGGTGCGACCGCGGAGGGGTGAGGCGGGCCGGGCGCGGGGCGCGATGGCGGCGGCGAGCGGCTCGTCCGGGAGCGGGATGGCGCAGAAGACGTGGGAGTTGGCCAACAACATGCAGGAGGCGCAAAGCATCGACGAGATCTACAAGTACGACCGCAAGCAGCAGCAGGAGATCCTGGCGGCCAAGCCCTGGACCAAGGAGTGAGAGCGGGGCCGTGGGGCGGGCGGGCGGCGGGGCCGGGGGGTGAGGCGAGGCGAGGCGAGGCCAAGCGAGGCCCTGAGCGCTTCCGCGGCCTCTGTCCCGCTGCAGCCACCATTACTTCAAGTACTGCAAGATCTCGGCGCTGGCCCTGCTGAAGATGGTGATGCACGCCCGCTCTGGGGGCAACCTGGAGGTGATGGGGCTGATGCTGGGCAAGGTGGACGGGGAGACCATGATCATCATGGACAGCTTCGCTCTGCCGGTGGAGGGCACCGAGACCCGCGTCAACGCGCAGGCGGCCGCCTACGAGTACATGGCCGCCTACATCGAGAACGCCAAGCAGGTACGCAGCGGGGGGGGGGGGGGGGGGAGAGGGAGTGGGATATGGCATGACTCTTACCTTCTTGCCTTCTGAAGTCTTAAGTCTGAAAGCGTGGTAAAATTCTCGCTTGCAGAAAGGTAGCAAAAACTGGTGAGTTGGGCAAAAAGGAAACTGATGAGCTTCAGTGAGGGCAAGTGTAGGGTCCTGCACCTGGGGAGGAACAACCACACGCATCAGTACAGGTGAGGGGCTGACCTGCTGGAGAGGAGCTCTGTGGAGAAGGACCTGGGTGTCCTGGTGGACAGCAGGTTGGCCATAAGCCAGCAGTGTGCCCTTGTGGCCGAGAAAGCCAATGGGATCCTGGGGTGCATTAAAAAGAACACGACCAGCAGGTCAAGGAGGGTGATCCTCCCTCTCTGCCCCAGTGAGGCCACATCTGGAGTATTCTGTCCATTTCTGGGCTCCCCAGTTCAAGAAAGACAGGGAGCTTCTAGAGAGAGTCCTGCAGAGTGCCACAAAGATAGAAGGGTCCTGGAGCATCTCCTGCATGAGGAAAGGCTGAGAGAGCTGGGACTGTTCAGTCTGAAGAAGGCTGAGGAATCTCATTACTGTTTGTAAATATCTAAAGTGTAGGAGTCAAGTGGATGCAGCCACGCTCTTTTCAGTGGTATGCAGCAACAGAACAAGAAGCAACAAAAAAAAAAAATCTGCAACACAGGAAGTTCCATACAAACATGAGGAAGAACTTTATGATAAAGTGATGGTGCCCTGGAACAAGCTGCCCAGAGGGGCTATGGAATCTCCTCTGAAGATATTCAGAACCTGCCTAGATGTTTTCCTATGTGACCCACCATAGGAAACCTGCTTTTAGCATGGGATTGGGCTAGATGGTTATCCCCAGAAGTCCCTTCCAATCCATACAGCTATGTGATTCTGTGAAATATTAATCTGCTCTGTGGCTGATGCAGAAGCCAGCATGGCATATGAGCACTTGCTGGCCTGTGGCTGCCAACACATAGCACTCTGACACTGCAAATAAGCACTGAAATCCCTCAAACTCTCCAAGCTCGAATAGTTTGAGGCCCAGATTAACCTTTGATTTGCCATTAATCCTTGAAGTATTTTAAATCAGCTGAAATTATAGGGTCCTTACATAGTGTAGATAAAGATACAACTATTTGGGTTATTTTGGAGAGGTGTGCTTATAGTCACAGCTTTCCGTGGGTTTAAGGATTAAAATAAATTAGGCTGGATCATGACTTCAAAAGAGAGTAAATACAGTCCAAAGGTAAGTATGTTCTAAGGCCTGTGGTGGGTTTGAGTTTGTTTGTTTGTTTTTTTAATAATGTATCACACTTCTTTATGAGAAAATTTCAAAGTAATCTATTTAATGTAGTTCATTGTATCTGGATGCTATTCAAGTAATGATTTTAATACTGTTGTTGCTGAAAAGTGTAGAAAATGAAAGGGTGTTTCTATGTGAAGATATGTTTCTACTACTCAGTTCTTAGGTAGAAAAATGTCTTAAGTATAGAGCATAGCATCAGTATGTACGTATACAGTTTAGTTCATTTGACTTTTAAAACAGCCCAGGTTTATATGGGAGTACTCATGATACAAAAATCAAGCAGAAATAATAGCTCAGCTTTGCTGGAGTCTGACAGCGTGCATGCTGGCTGCTTTACATCTGAGGTTGGCAAACACTTTGTCCTGGAATAACTCTTTTTAATATTAGATTACATGTTGATAATATCCCTCTGCATAAGTGCTTTACAGAAGCTAATGTTGCAGTTACGTGCTCCTCCACGGGCAGGATCTGATGTTAAAATGGTTAAAAGAATAAAGTTATTTGTTTCGCCGATTCAAAAATAAATGTTCAATTCAGTAGATACTGTGTTCTGTCTCTCTTAATAGTTTCCAGACTTAACCTTCCTGGCATGCTCAGTATTTGGCAAAAACAAGCAGCTAAATGCACTGAACACACTGCCATGTAGGCTGTACTGAAATAGTTTCACTCAATATTGAACAGCCAGTACACAATTCTTGACCAGTTACAATAAACTAGGTGCAGTGGGCATTTATTCTCCTTGATGAACCATGACTTTTGATTTTGTTTGTTTGGGGTTCTTGTAGAGATAGCCCAGAGTATTATTTGGCAACTTCTGTTATGAGTTTCTTTGAGGTGAAAAATCCCCAAAAATAATCTTTTGGTTTTCACTGCCTACTGTGTACTGTGGCAATGAATTCTGACATTTCTGGTCTCCAAAAATGTTCATGTTTCTATTTCTTTAAACCTACCAATGATCTCACTGTATGCCTCTGAAGTGTGTTTCTGTACTAAATGGTGTTCATTCTCTATTGGCTTACTATACATTATATGCGTTTTTACATACTGGCATCATTTCCACTCTAAAAAAATCCCACACTGAAGAGTCCTGGCTTACTTAATCTCACCCTATGGAACCTCTTCTGTACTTCAGCTGTCATTTAAGTTGTTGTCACTAGATCCTTGGAGTTATTTGTTTTGAGGTAGTGGCTCTGACAGCTAATACTACAGATCTTACAGTTTCTGGAAGGTAGTTAAGCAAAATAAGGTGTATGTTAAATATTTAAGTTAGCACACAGGCTGTGTTTATATTCTTTTTATCCCCTTGCTGCGTTGTAGTGTGCTGGAAGGCCCAGTAGAGGGCAGCCCGTGCTTTACGAATGAGGATCATAGCTCTGGATTTGTTTTCCTTCACCACTGCTAGGTTGGTCGTCTAGAAAATGCAATTGGCTGGTACCACAGTCACCCTGGCTACGGCTGCTGGCTCTCTGGGATCGATGTTAGTACTCAGATGCTTAACCAGCAATTTCAAGAACCCTTTGTAGCAGTGGTGGTAAGTACTGTCTGATAGCTTATAAAACTGCATAGCAAGTTATGTTGAGAGGGGAGTAACTTCTAGATTTTTGTCCATTAGCAGCCTAATAATGTGGAGTTTGCAGGATGGAAGTGTTAGATCTAAATCTTAAATAGTTATTGCTCCTTTTGCGTTGCTGGCCACATGCTGGTCAAACTGGTAGTCTTGTTCATTGAGACCATTTTTGTTTCATTGTTCCAGAGGATGTAGTGCTGTACAAATCTATATGCTGCTCTTAGTTTGAAGTTGGTACATCTGCAAAAAATGCATTAGCAATCCATATTCAACCTCTTTCAATATAAGAAAAATCTGGTTTTGTCCTCTTTGTTGCTTTGTTCTGAAAAGCAACTTTATGTTCACACAGTTTTGTTGCTTTGAATCTAAAATGCCTTTTAGCTGAAATGAGTGGCATCACAGAATCTCCAAGGTTGGAAAAGACCTACAAGATCACCCAGTCCAACCATCCACTTATCCAATAGTTCTCACTAAACCACGTCCCTCAACACAAAATCCAAACGTTCCTTGAACACCTCCAGAGTCAATGACTCCACCACCTCCCTGGACAGCCCATTCCAGTGCCCAACCACTCTTTTAAAAAAGTAGTATTTCCTAATGTCCAGCCTAAATCTCCGCTGGCACGGCTTGAAGCCGCTCCCTCTAGTTCTATCACCAGTTACACGAGAGAAGAGGCCAACCCCCAGCTCACTACAGCCTCCTTTCAGGTAGTTATAGAGAGCAATAAGGTCTCCCCTGAGCCTCCTCTTCCCCAAATGGTCTAGGTAGAAGATTCTAGGAAGTCTTTGAAGAAAAAATCTGAAGAAACTGGGCCCTTTCAGGCTGCAGATAACATTTTAAATCAAAATAAAACTTACTTTAAGTACAACTTGTGCAACTATTGCTGCTGAAGGAAATAAAGAATAAAAGACTGAAATTAGTCAGAAAGAAGGAATATAGGTAATGCTAGAATTCCATTAGACAGGGATAAATCACCCTAAGAAGAAGTATTTCTACCATATCAGTTTCCCATGTTATGACAATTTTACAGATTCAGAACATTTCCTTTGGG